CCATCTAATTACAAACGCCCCCTCTTGCTTTCTTCTTTGGTAAACGACTTCCTCTCGATTTGATTCGATTCCTCTCTTTCCCCCCCTCTTAATCAACAGGGAGTTAATTCCAATAGAGCATATCGTGCACGCAGAACCAACCCATTGGAGCATGCCTTTAGTGGAAACTAATGAACATAAAAAGGCAAAAAAATTTCTAAAAGTCAGCACTACATTGCTGGGTCGTGACTAGGGTTTTGGCTTCTATATCTTTTTCTTTAGTCATTTCTTTGGCCCGAGAAGGGAGATTGAAAGCCATGTGTATAGGGCAGTGGGTGGAAAGCAGAAGACATGAGTGGGATTTGAGGGCGTTGATAGGTCGAGGGAATAATGCATGGATGACTTACTAAGGATTAAACAAATGTGTTATTATTATTCAATTTCTTCTTCAACCCGATAGTGAACATCTGATTCCTGCAAGCTTCTTGAAGTTGATGAAGATCTGGATTAGTTGGAAAGATTTAATACCGTCGAGCTAAAAAGAAAAAAGAAGGATTAATCTAGGATAGTGATATGTTGCCACAACCAAAATTTTCTTCCACCACTTTTCCTCTTTCAATTTCTATATTTTGATTAGACTAATTTGCCCTCAAAACTCATCCGCAATATTCATGAAGATTCTCGAAAGACATGGCGAAAATAACATCTACCAAATTAGGCAACAATCAAGGAAGTCCAAATTCCTCTTAATTTATTGTTTATGTTATTTCCTAGTTTTCATGTTATCGAAGTGAGTAAGGTATACCTCTGTATGGCCAGAAAAAGAAGTATGCCATGATTTTATAGAAAAATGTTTTCCAAATCATTCATTTTTCGCGGAACAAACATATCCTTAGAATGAAAAGGGAAAGTTGAGTAAAGTTTTTCGCCATGAAAGAAAGAAAAATGTAAGTTTAATTTGCTTGATTACTTGCTTAATTTGTTAGAGGGTGTTTTTGTTTTTTTTTTAATATAATTTTCAAGAATCCTCATATAGATTGTGGATGAATAGTTAAGGACAAAAAAAATACTCCAATCAAAATAATATAGATTAGCAAAAAGTTGTGGAAAAGAAGGGTTTTTAATTTGACTATGGAAATATCATCCCCCTTAATTGACCGACTCAGCTCGTGTTACTAGATGACAATCGTGGACGTTGTTTATTAGGCGATGACACTACTATGGAATTCCCCTAAAAGAAAAGCATCCTATCAAAGAACCTAAGTTGCATCACGGGACAAGTAAGATTTGCCTTGCGAATGCAAAAGGGTGGGGGAAGCAACATCTATGAAATTTAAAGCGTAGAAACTAGAAAGAAAGAGACACTTTCGGAAAATTATAAACCTCATAAAGAATTCGGATCGTTGGGGCGGAAAATGTCGTATTTCCAGCACGGGAAAACCTATGAGATTATTACATCTATTGGCCCCAGCCAAGGGCTTCGTCTTTTTATAACCTTCTCGAAAAGGTCATATAAGCTTTTACGGGATTTTTAGTTAAATGTCGACGTCAATTTATACAGGTACGTGATGGAGATGGAGATATATATTTGGAGAAAGACGATCCCTTCACCCCTTTCTTTAATTGCTAGGGTTTGAGTGGAGGAGGTACCTTGTTTGTACCAAAGCAAAGATTTAAATTTGCAAGGAGAAGCGACGAGAGAGGATGCTTCACGCCAATACACGATTCTGATCTAAACTTCAATGTGCGAGGTCAAACCGAATGTGCTGTCTCTGTTGCTTTGGCTTTGGCCTTTGCTTTGCTTTGATTTGAATATGATGGGGGGATCGAATTACAATGGCGTTCCATAAAATAATCAAGAAAACGTTCAGCTCACTTGGTCCTCTTGGATCTAATCGAGAAAGGGTCATTTTCTCTCTCTTTTTTTTTTTCCCTTTTTTTTTTCTTTTTCTCTGGTGAGTGTGATTCTTGTTTCTTTCATGATTATGGCTCAGAGAAAAAAAAAATTCTCAGTGAACGACATGTGCGTCAGATATCAATCGCGGCAGATAAGCTGAGGCATACGGCATCTTTTCTCGTGCGTTGGGGACACCAAAACGAGACAGACAAGCTGAATGATTCCCATTGGCCATCTATGTGCAAACGCCACCAAGGACCCAAGTCCAAATTTGCCTAACAAAATGATGCAAACTCATCGAGTGGAGGCACACAAATGTTAGCTAGATCGGTGTCACTTTCTAAGATAAATACACCAATTTAAAAAATGGGTCGTTTCGGTTTTGGTTAGCTATGATAGATGGGAAATGAAATCAGGTACGGAACTGGGTAAAACTCGAGAAAGCAATCCAGCGTGATTGTCACACTAATTTTCTTGCGGTAGATGCACTACAAATAGGTGAATCAAGTCTCGGGACAAAGTTTTGCCCCGAAACTCAACTTTCGCCTTGATGTCTAGTCTATTTGTATGCCCCAATCAAATGCTAGTATACAACAAGTGATTATGCTTTTCTTTCCTACTTATGTGGTGCCTTTTTATAGGAATCCACATGTGCACCTTCAACCTTAGAATAATCGGGCTACTCAATGGTTTTACACGAATATTAATAATGCTAGTAGATCTAGGGCGAGATCTTTGCTAAAGTTTCTCTACGCGAGTAGTTTGACGATTTTTCACCAAACGACGTGGCAATTTCTTATATGTCGATAAGAATAAAAGGCCTTCAAATCTTGCATCTAGAGCGCATCATCCACAGGGAAACTTTGGGAGTAAGAGGGAAGTTTTTTCACGAGACAATAGATAGATGAAGTTGCCGTGCGACGATTTACGTTGTCAAGATGAAGCCACCTCATGTGGGTCACGACCCAAAAACAAGAAACTGCTCTTGATTGATGCCATTCCATCAACATGCAACTGGCTCTCCCTTTGCTTTTGGTGGCTTCTTCCTCTCTTTCTTTATCGCCTCCATTAATTAAAACACGTCCCCATCCATCTTGGGTTATTGGGGAAGATCGATCATCACCACCGACTCGCACCCTTTTTCCCCCCTTGGGAGCTTCACCCAAATTTTCTTTTCAATTTCTTGCTTTGCACCACGACAACCCATCCCAATCCTCTTTTTTCTATCTAGAAGAGATTAGGCAGGTTGCTTAGTGGTTGCAACTCTTCAAATTGTACTTATCTGACCCGACCCATCACTTTGAAAATGCTTTTATTTTCTTCCCAATATATATCATGTGAAGAGAGCAAGAAATCTTGAAAATTCAGAAGACTTTAAAGATTAGAAAGGTCACACAACCAACCGGCCTAATGACATCCGTGGACGATGGAATCATCTACGTATTTCATTGTGTATGTTCCTCTTTCACATATTCTTCAGGATAACCCCTCGTGGTTTTGTCCTTATACCCGGATGGAGTTTCCATCAATTTGGCTTATTCTTTCAATGATTTCGGCATCCACGCAATCCCATCCCCCTATTTTATTTGAATTCCCGTCCCTAGAAACTAGGGTCGATTAGTCCCACCAGGAAATGCCGAAATGATGTTGTGAAATGGACCTCGCACATCTCTAGACACCATAGATGAACCCACGATCCCAGCCATGTTCAGCTTCTCGAATACAGCTTCGTCCTGAGTGGAACACCCTTTCTCTTTAAATCTTCTCTTGTTCATAGATATGACATGATAATCTGAAGATATGCCCTTACTGTTTCGACTCGATTAACATGTGAAATAATTTGAATTTTATATCCAATTATCGCGATCGTGGATGCAATGTTCCACTTCCCTATCCCCCCTTACACAATTTCGATTTCGACTGGGAACTTCTCGCATTTGCTTCGAGAGGGGTCCAGCTCATTAAAGCAGAGCCTTAGCCCCAAGTTGCCTCATTACCTGGCAAAGAAAAAACCGATAGCCACTCGATTAGCACTCATTCAATGAGCACTAGACAATAAGTACATCCTTTTGCTTAGTCAAAGCGGTTGAAATGCTTTGGAGATCAGAGAGGTTTCAGTCACCTGTAGCTGTATTGAGATTGGGGACGGAAGGGCACAACGTTATTCGTCGTCTGTCTGAAAGAGAAGAGAAATCTCGATCGGACAACCACTTTTTTGGCGGGGAGAGATGGACAAGAAGGGACTCGACCAACAACCGTGTCTAAGTTAGGTTGCGAGTCTTGCGATGTCTTCTTCTCTGTTTTCTAAGACAAGGCATGAGAAAACAAGGGGAGGGCCTGCGGGTTGGGGAGCCATACAGCAACCTTCACGACCAAGTAAAATCCTAAAAAATCTAGCCCCAGAATGAGCAGTCTCTTGAGAATTTTTCAAGACCTATGTACTCAAATCAAATTCCAATTCAGCCGTCACAAACCTGTTTTTCTAATTGTAAAGTAAAGAAGAAAAGAAGTGGTAAAATTGACCGAAGAAAGAGGACAAAAAGGGAAACCGAATAAGCTAACTACGCACTTTCTTATCAAGAAAGTCCCACTCGGTAAGATTTCTTCATTGTCCATCCCCTATATATCGCAAAAACATAGCAAAATCTTTATCTAATGATTCAGAATTTGTATAGTGGTCAAAAAAAGAGGGGGGCAAGTTTTCCGATTCTCTGTAAAATTAGATAACTACTAATATTAACTTATAATACAGCACGATAAATAAAGATTAATCGCGCATCCGCGACTATATATATAGAAAAGCAAATCCCAATCTTATAAACCATTTTGAGCACCTAAGCAAAATACCAACAATTTAACTATTTCTGATGAGTTTTCTTATTCTTATTATATTAACAGAAGGTAACTGCACACGCACGCCCATCAGAACAACCACACAGCTGCAGCGCAACCCGTTCAATCACGCCATCACCTCTTCGTCTTTCCAACCGAAACTTTCCACACACTCCCAATTTACTAACATAGAAAGAAAATTGGGAAAAATCAACCAAAAATAGAAAATAATAATGGTGATGATGATGGCTTAAGCGCTAATTATTAAAATAATCCCTAATCAATGGATGCAAGGGAAATTGATAAAGTTGGGGGGGGTGGTGCGTGGCGCTGTCGTTGCGGATAACAGGAACGAACGACACAAGGAGCACGAGACAAAGACCAGACTCTTCCTCTCGAAAGGGAAAAGCCTCCCCCTCACGCGAAAGGAGGAGAAGCAGAGGAAGGAGGAGGAGGAGGAGGAGAAGGAGAGAGAACAAAGGCAAAACGAGCCAAACCCACAAAAGAAAGAGCACCCCCCACCAGCATCATCTCTCTCTCTCTGTCCGTCTCTGCGATTCGATTCCCCTTTCTCTTTCTCTCTCCCTCTCTCTCTCTCTCTGTGAAAACGAAGTCAGAAAAGAGGGCAAAAGAAAGGAGCTTGGGAGCGCGACGGTGGTGGTGGCGGCGGCGGCGGCGGCGGTGGGTGGTGGATTATCTGCGGAAATTTATTCATCAATTTCTTGATTCCCTCACGTCTCGAATACCGAAAGTCTCGAAGATTCCGCCCATGTCCTGACTGTGTCGTCATCGCCCTTCACCCTCTTCTTCTTCTTCCTCTCCCCCCGCTTCCATTTCTCTCGGTCTTTCGCCTCCCCCCCCACCCTTCATCGCTCGTCAATGGCCGTTCAAGCTCAGTACCCTTCCAACATCCTCTTCCTTAACAGGTGGGTACCCATCTCCCTCCCTCCCTCTCTTTCTCTCTCCCACTCTCTCTCTCTCTCTCTCTCTCTCTCTCTCTCTCTCTCTCTCTCTCTCTCTCTCTATCTTCGTGTGTGACATTTCGCTCGCTCTCTCTCTGCAGGAACGTGCAGGAAGGGCGTGATTACTCGGTGCAGGCACACCCAGGAGGATATCTCGATCAATCCAGCGCTCTATTCACCAATGGAGGTGAGAACAGCGAGACCCGACACTCGAAATCCTCATTCAATGCCCACATTGAAACTGGTTTCTGATGCCCTGCATTGTTCGTGACAGGAAGCGCCAACCCACGCAAGAGAGGAAGAGAAGATGCGATCTCCCCCGACAACACATCGTCGTTCATGGACCTATACACTCTGCAACCTCAACCTCAACATCAGCCTCAGCCTCAACCTCAGCCTCAGCTCGTAGACCTCGCTCAACTTCATAACCAGCAATCAGCGAATGCAGTATCCATCGGCCTGCGATTATCTCCCAGCGACCTGCAAATCCAGCGTCTCTCTCGCCGATCAGCTACTCCGAGCCCGAGCCCGAGCCCGACATCGTCGCTTCTCTCCAGTGATTTCGCTTCCCTAATCAAGCAACAAAGAGAAGAGATAGACCAATTCCTTCAAGCGCAGGTCGAAAACAGAGAGCGCACCGAGCGATGCGTTTTCTACTTCCATTCAAGTTCATGCGCACGTTTTCCTTGACCCATTCGCTGAGGGTTGATGGTTCGATTTCAGGGAGAACAGTTGCGGCGCATGTTGGCCGAGAAGAGGCGGAGGCAATACCGCGCGCTGCTCGTCGCGGCGGAGGAATCCGTCGCCCGGAAGCTGCGGGAGAAGGACGCGGAGGCGGAGAAGGCCGCGCGCCGCAACGCCGAGCTGACCGCGCGCGCCGCCCAGCTCGGCGCGGAGGCCCGGGCCTGGGAGGCCAAAGCCAGGGCCCAGGAAGCCGCGGTGGCGTCCCTGCAGGCGCAGCTGGAGCAAGCGCAGGTGATGATGGGCGGCGGGCGGGACCGGAGGTCGGAGAACGCCGGCGAGGCCGGGCCGGAGGCGCAGGCGGAGGACGCCGAGTCGGTGTACGCGGACCCGGACAGGGCCGCCGGGTCGGGCCCGGGCTGCAGGGCGTGCGGCGAGCGGGTGGCGACGGTGGTGCTGCTGCCGTGTCGGCACTTCTGCGTGTGCGCCGAGTGCGACAGGGTGGTTGGGGCGTGCCCCGTGTGCTTCTGCATGCGGGGCTCGAGCGTGGAAGTTTTCCTTTCCTAATGGGCCCACGCCGAGGCCCAACATTAGGCCCATTATTGGGCCCAAAGCGATGGACACGACGACGGTCCACGGTCAAAACAGGTGGAAGAGACCTCAGAGAACCCGAAAGAGGAAATAAAACGAAAAAGCAAAATATGGGAAAATTTTCATAAATCTTATTACAAGTTCGAGAATGAGAATCCTCGCTCTCACAGTTTTATTCTGTTTATTTCTTTTCATTATTATTATTATTATTTTCTTTTTGGGTGTGTGTACAGGGCGGCTGCTGCTGAAGTTCACTCGCATTTTCATTTTGTTCCTTCTTTTTATTTTCTTTTTATATTTTATTGAATTAGAGCAGTATATAAATTCTTTCATTAAGGTTTCCCACTCTCGATCCCTTTAGTCAAAGTCTTTTTTGGGCGGTCGAACGTCACGAGGCACTCCACGAAGTTGGCCGTCCTTACAATGCTCCAAGCGATTATAGGATCAGACCAATCATATCCCATTAGACTACAAAAAAGTCGTCCCGCGGCACTAATTCCATCTCGGGATTTCTCCAACTCTTTACGACTTTTAAGAATGTAACCCGAACCCGAGATCGGATCCTGGGCGGAGAACGTCTCGGGTTGGGTCTTTTTCTCCCGAGCCTTGTTCGGCGGATGCCCCGAGAGTTTACCCGACTCCGCAAACACACTAATACGCAATGGCGGACTAAAGTGGCGGCTGTTGCAACCTCCTAGGTTTCCCAACTCTACCTAGTTTTGGCAACCTCCTAGTATTTCTATACTTGAAACTAGACTTGGGTTTTCTTGTCTACCTCTTATAACTGAAGATTGTCGGGCCACCATGGGGCTACACCTAATCCAAGAGATATCCCATAATTGGCGTCGACTATCGAACCCACACGGAAGCCCACGTCGTGTCACATAACAAAGTAAAAGGCCTGAAAAAGAATAAGCTCGTCAAGAGTTGGGGGCCCATTCACGACATTGGGCTTGAAGAGCCCATGATGCGATTCTATCAGTTTCTTTCCTTCCAAGCCCAAACCTTGTGCTCTTGATGATTCAAGGTCATGTGATTCCATCCACAGCGGGTCTATCGTTAGTCAACGTGGTAATAACAATGTTTTTTTTTTTTTTTGTGTATTAGCTTGATGCGAATTCGAACTAGGGAAAAGTAAAGGGCCGAAAGCATCGTACCAGAAAACATTCTGGGATGAAATCTACAATGATTGCTTCAGACAAGAGGAGAGGGAGATTTCTTTCCTCTCTTTCCTATTTTTTTTTTCTATTTATTCCCCCCTTGTTTTGGAGATAGATCCGTCAAAATGAGTGCATTCCTTACTCCATATTTGATAGGCTGATTTGTTTTATGAATTAGTTATATTCAGTAAATGTGTCCTAAATAATTTTAAAATGGTAATGTCTAAAATAACATGAATGTTAAATGGGTTCACAGCTTACTTAGATTCAATTTATTTCTACGACTCTTTTCACTCTCTCTCACCCTCACTCAATCTTGCTCGCTCACTCTATGCTTTTGCCTCAATTTGTGTCCGAGTCTTCCTAAATTGGGTTAACTATGTAAGTGTTCTGGCAATACGAGTCCGATTGGCTATGGGTCACTAGATATTTCATGGAAATTGGATAATTTGGGACGGATCATTTTCGACTCGATCCAAATTCGACTCGATCCACCTATTTGACGTGTCTATATTGGAGAGAAGGAGCTAAGAACGAGCAAATATAGAAGGAATCGATTCGTTTTTTTTCATCCAAAAAAGAAAAACGAAGGAGAAGAAGAGGGGAATGCAAAGGAGTCCGAGGCCCACGACGACCTTGTCAAAGGGCGAGTGGGGGGACAGGGTCCACGAATTCGACGGTTTCTTCTTGGCGGGAGGAGGGTGGGCCCCAATCCCCAAGTTGGTCGTCCCTTTTCATTCTACAAAAGAAGTGGAGAAAAAGCGAAGAAAACGACGAACGAATCCCCTTTATTTCATTTCATCCCATTCACTTTTTTTTAGAGGAAAAAAAGAAAAAAGGGAGAGAGATGTAAAAGGCGGAGTTGGTCCTGGAGCCTCCCGAAAAACGGTGGGCCTCGGGCCGGTCCGGGCCGGGTCGGGTCGTAGCGTTAACGGGAGACCCGAGAGAGAGAGTGAGAGCCCCAGTCGCGGTCCCTGGCGCGTGGAGTTGCGCACTCCCGGATTCACATGTCCGTTGAGTCCGTCTTCACGGGTGAGAATTTTCCCATCGCAGCATTTGATGACCAACCACCCCCCACCCGACTCCCTTTACTGGTGTAATAAATCCACTCTGACGACATAGGCAAGTGATGCCCTCGTTTTTCAACCATCAGTGGTGGGGAAGATGCGCCAATTATTACGTGCTCTCTTAAATTGCCCGGAGCCATCCGAACGCGAGCCATCTCATTCCTCGGAGGAAAAAAAATGGTATAGGTACTAGCTAATTTGGACGCGTGAATGAAGAGAGCAGCGACCGATTTTACTTCGCCATGTTCGTTCTACAAGGGGGGGCGCACGCGAGGATCCGCAACGAAATTGCGGTCGCCGACTGAATTCCCTATAGGACATCGCCTGGAATTCGGATGCATCTTCTCTTTGATGGGTCTCTCCCGTTTCCCGTGCGGGTTACGCGAGACGTCCTTTCCAATTTTCTTGGATCGGAAGAGAGAAACGAATGCTGGGTGGCGATCGTGACGTGAACGCGCAAAGTGCCCCGCGTGGGGCCGGCACAAGCGTCTGATTTCGTCGTCGTGGAACAGTTGACGCTAAAAAAAAAAAAAGTGGGGGAATCAAGAAAATAGAATAGGAAAAAAGTAAAAAAGAAAAAAGAGAAAACCTTAATACGGGACAAATCATGTGCGGTGGTAGGTGGCGCGTGGGGCCCCCCCCCCCCCCGTCCTCCCCTCTTTTTTTTTGTTCTTTTCGAGAGATTGAGAGAAGATCTAGTAGCATGGGATCGCCGCATCTTCGACCCTGTCGTCGGCCCTTATTTACGAACGCGCCACTCGCGCCGAGCGAAGCAGGCGCAAGACGCAGTGGCCGTTTCCGTAATTCCACGGAACGGGAGGGGCAAATCGGTAAGTTTGGCCACCTACGATTCCATTGTCAATTTTTTTATGATGCAGGGGTATCTTTTCCTCAGCCAATGGATTCTCCTCCTCGGTTTCTTGAAACGCGGCCGTGGTTTCCTCTCCCTCTCTCTCTCTCTCTCTCTCTCTCTTCGGGTCCATAAATCAAGAACGCTTTTCTATAGCTTCGTCTCCTCCGCTGCCTCAAACCTTCTGCTAAAGAAAACGAAGCGCGGCCATTGAAGGGAGAACCAAGCGTGAGAGGAGGAGAGGAGGGTGGGCGAAAAGAAGGGTAGGGATCGAGAAGGATTTTTATGGAGGCCGCGGCGACCACGAGGAGCGGTTGTTTCATCGCCGACGATGACGATTCGCTGGCCGACATGGAGGCCGGGTTCGCGGAGAACGTGCGCGTGCTGAGGGATGCGGTTAAGAGATCGTCGCCTGCCGCTTCGCCGAGATCCGCGAGGTTCTACGACGCGAGGTTGGAGGACCACCGCCCGCATTTCCTGGAGACTTGCTTCCTCTGCAAGAAGCGGTTGGGGAACAACAGGGACATCTTCATGTACAGGTCGGTTGTTGTTGGGCCGCGCTGTTTTTATTTTTTTATTTTTTGTTGCTATTTTTTCTCTTTTTAGTGTTTTCGACTCTCTTCTGCGAGGGGCGAAGACTTGAGGGCTGTGGAATTTCTTAAGGGGCTTCGCAATTTGAGTGCTCGATCGTCTTCTCCTATGATTTCATGTGGATTTTGGGTTTGATCGTTTCGATAGCGATCTGAAAAATCCATTGCACTATTTGGGTGGGGGAAAAGAGTTCCTCTTTCTGTAAATCGCTTAGGGTGGTGAAGTTCGGAGAGAGAGAGAGATTAGAATCTGCAGAAGAAGCTTGCCGTGTGCTCTTGGTGCCTGAAAATGATGTTCTTGACAATATAGTGCTAGAAATGTCCGATTTCTTTTGTCAAAGATTTGAAGGAACTAAAGTCAATATATAGAGCAAATTTAGTCTCGCGTTTGCTCGGCCCCCTCCTAGGATATTTGACCATACGAGAAAGAATGCGCCTCAAAATTTTTCTGCACCTTTGGAGCAGCAGTCTTTTCGGGGGAAGGTTTTTTCTTCTAGGGTCGGTGCTGACTTGACGTTTCGTTGCGAATTGCAGAGGGGAACTCGCATTCTGCAGCGAGGACTGCAGGCAGGAGCAGATAGAGATGGAGGAAGCCAATGAGAGGAACTGGAACCTCTCTTCCTCAATGAAAGCCCTGAGGAAGAAGGGACACGCCAAGTCCACGTCTCCTCCCGAAGCTCAGGACCAACACTTACCCAGTAGAACCGTCGTTGCTGTCTGATCGGAGCGTTTGATAAAGTGTTAAAATCGTATACATACGTATATATACATATACCCAACTACTCTTTTAGCCTCTAACTAAGCTTTAAATCGCGTGTATTATATCGAAAATGATGATGTTTACATGGCGGGCCTCTCTGGAACATGAAGAAGGCCGGGAAAGAGAATAGAGTGTACAGTAGCTGAAGGGGGAGATTGCTGTTTTTGAGGATCTTCCTAGTTTCGCTCTTGTTTTTTTTCTTGTTTTTGCTGGAATTTTCATGTGTAAGCCCTCAAGTATGAACAATGAGTGAGCCTGGTTATAGCTTTCTTTACCTCATATGATGTTGCTCTCTCTTCCTTCCTTTGCCCTTTAAGGTTTCTTTGAAATTTAGACTTAAAGCAAGAGAATTCTAATGGCAAAGCCAAGAACGGAAGTCAAAGATCAGTGCCTAGGATACTCGAGGCGATGTTGACCTGGTCGTAAGAGAATTATGTAGAAGTGATTGATCACACCACCAGGGAAGCTTCTTTGAAAATTCTTCGTTACCTTTTCCGGTGCGGTGGGGGTACCGAAGAGTCAAAGTTCACGTGCCTGGTTTAGTTTCACCTCCTCTATAAGACTGGTAGCGTTTGGAAGAAATATTAGAAGATGATGAACATGGTGATGGTGATCGTGATCGAGGCAGTAATGGCGGTCACAGTACCTGCAATAGAAACTAAATATGACCCGGGTGTTTTTAAGGATCCTTGGAGAATGGATTCCCGACCCTTGACGGCCGTCGGATGAAATAACGTAAATCTCATTCATTAATTGTAAAAACTTTAGCGTGTTATGACATTTTGTCGGGAGTCATAAACAAATATAAGGAATTACGACAAGCTATGACCCGGGGAGATAGATCCCCAAATACCATTAAATTGTCCAATATAGTCTCCATTGAAGTCGGTATCTAAGATATGTTACGAACATAACCGATTCTCGTGTTTTGGGACTTTCATCTATTTCATTGTATTTCGATTTAGTTCCTAGGCTCGCTATATCGTCATGATCTCACTTATATGATGGAACATTTCAGACATGGGAAAGGCGGGTTTCCTTTTCATGTTTAAGATTAAACCTAGACTTATTTTCTCCCCCAAAGCAAATGTGAGTCACAGAAAAAAAAAAAAAGCCGAAACAATCAAAATATATAGTACTTCAATTCAACGGGGATAATGCATCGTATCATTGTCAAAACAGCGCAATGCGATTCAAAACTTGAAATCCAGACGGTGTGAGCTACTTCATTAGTTTTTCTTGGGATTTTGTTCCAGTTATATTGGCTCCATTTGTTCGCAAAAAATGTAACATTTCTAGAAAATGTTTTCCGAAAAGTTATTTTCTAGGAAAATGACAACATTTCCCGGTGTTTGGTTGAGACCCGCAAATGAACTAGAAAATATTTGCCGTCGTTGAGTAAGGAACATCTCATTTGATTTCTTAAATAGACATACACTAAGGAACTCGGCACAAGCACTGGGGTCTCAAGCCTGAATCCCCGACTCTCAAGCACGAGCATGGGCACAAGTCTTGGGTCCACTAAAATTGAGCCCGAGAACTCGGTGTTTGTGCCAGGCTCCCTGGCGCCCCGGCCCGGGTCTACAAAGGTCGGGCACCAAGGACCCGGCCTCGCTGCCAAGGGCCCAAGAACGAGCATTGGGGTTCCTGCACCCAAGCGCAGAGTTTCCGATCCAAGGACCATAATCTAGTCATATATCCAAATGCTAAAAAATGAGAAAAATGTTTCCCGCGAAACAAATGCAGTCACAAAGTACAAAAGGAAAAGGACGAAGGAAGCAAAGCTTCGCGTGATCTTAGTTTCCACTGTAATGGCCTGCCAAATACCAATCCTGGTCATATAAGGCGCGAATGCTAACCATTCTGCTCCAGAAATCAAATTCTTGCTAGAAATTGATTTCCGAAATTCTTATCAGAAATTGATTTTTTGAGGAGAAATCTGTTTGATAAAACATAATTAATTCTACTCCAGAAATTGATTTATGGAACAGAAATCTATTTTTATTTTTTTATTTTTTTGGGCACCTCAAAAAATTTAAATTTCACTCAAAGTGGGTGCCCAAAGGTATTTTAAGCCATTCTGTGAAGTTTTGAAATTTTTGATTTTTTTTATATTTTTTGAAAAAAATTTACCAAATTTCCTATTTTCTCGAAATCTGACTTTTTTTTTATTTTCTGGAAATTTTTATGAATTTTTCTGGAATTTTTCAATTTTTATGTATTTTCTGAAAAAAAAAAATTAATGAGAAAAAGAGAGAAAATAGGGAGAATGCATTCTGGAAGAGAGAAGCTACAAAAAGTAGCTCCTCTTTTTCTTGCTCAAAACTCATTCTGGAATCAAAAATACATTCTGGAATTAAGAATGCATTCTGGAATCAAATATTTTTAATAAACGCATTTTTATTCCAGAATGCAAAAATTGCTCTAGAATGCATTCCGGGAATTTTTTAATAAACGCATTTCTGTTCCGGAATGCATTCTGGAGCAGAATTTCTACTCCAGAATTGATTCCATGCGCACGCATAATGACTCGGGCCTAATTTTATTGGGCCTGACGAGAAGACCTTGAAGAACGCACAAACATTCTCCCTTTTCTCAGTACTTTGCTCTCAGCGCAAGGTTGGGTCGGGCCTCACGTCCGAGCCGAGCCGTTCCTTTTTGTCGGCCGAAAGGATACCGTGCATTGCTTTGGGTCGCCTCGTTCCCCCCGAATGGCCGACGAACGAAGCGAGAGCGCATCGTGCAGACACGTACACACGATTCCAGATCCCGAATGAATGGAAAAATCGTCACGATCCAACATCATGTAAAAGTCTAATCTAATCTTTAATTTAATCGGAAGAGAAGAAGATCCAACACACGTGTCGTCGCGTGTCTGGATTTGCATACTGTCGGCAGAACCAGAGAGAGAAGGTGGCCACCACCAATTCACGAGACTGCCATTACCCGCCTCGCCCCATCCGTTTTTTTTAACTTCATTCAACCGTCTTCCTCAGTCCCACTCTTACTTCTCCAGATCACGCACGTTCGCACGCACGCTCTCTCCCCTTCTCTCTGCGTAAGAAGATCTCTCCCGCTCGTCCGCAGAAATGGAGGACTTGATCAAGGGCCTGATCGACGTGGCTCTCGGTGGCCTTCGTGAAGACCGGAACGACCAAGAAGACTCCGATGATCAGCGCTCGCGCGACGAGCGTTCCAGATCCACTTGGGCCGAGGTTGGTGTCGATCGAGCCGTTTCGTCTCGTTCTGTTCTCTTTCTTTTGTTCTTCTTTTTTCTTATTTTGCTTCGGTAACGGAAGCGATGGCTGTTGGTGATCGATGGTGACACGGAAATGGTTTTTTGCAGGTGGTGTCGGGAGATCAGGACGGCGACGAGGGACGGGGGAGTGAGGATCGACAGGGATATCGCCGTAGTTCGTGGAATGAGGAGGTTCGATTTCGACGTTTGAAATTGGAACCTTTCGGGTTCTCTCTTTGTTTTTGAGAACAGTACGTGCAGGATTTGAAGTTAGGGCCTGATTAGGATTGTGATTTTGCAGGAGAAGAGCGAGAATGAGCACGGGGCGTGGGGGACTGCGGAGTCAAGGCCTTCGAGGCGACCCCAAGTGGTAAAATTTTAGTATTGATCGGTGCTGTTGCATGGTGTCTACACGGCGTTGGAGTGGTCTGTGTGTTAATCCAGGCTTTTCCTCGAGTGGTTCGACTAGCGTTGGTGGGATTTTTCTATGATACAGGGGTTTTGCAAATTTATATATGGAGCTTTACACGAATGGTGTCGGTTCTGCAACATCCTTGAATTGACGGAGAAGATAATATATATTAAGTCCGTGATGCTTTTATATGTAGTTGGATTCTCTTGGGGTCCTTGTTTTCTTCATTTGCTTTGAGTAGTTATAGATGCAAGGTGGAATTATTTGCATTGTGTTCTGGAGCTGGTTGTCGTGGTTTTCACTTCATGCTTTTGCTTTTGCCTCTCCATCTTGTCATCTATATTTTATCATCAAAATGTCTCCAATTGCCGCAGGCTGTAGATCAGGGGTATGAAACCCATGAAGATGGCAGAAGGCATAACTATGACCAAACCCCTTGGAACAGAAAGGTGTGCTGTTTTTTTTCCCCTGTTCCAGATACAAGTAACACTATAACGAGAAAGAAAAATTGAAATTTCGAGTGATCACATTTTAACAGGAGGACAACCAGGAGAGTAACGACGACTGGGAAGCTGTTGGCAGAAAGCATCAGAGGCAACCTCACAAGGTTTCCGTTATATCAGAAAACAGTTGAAGGATAGTGAAATGAATATTGCTTTCTAAAAGTTCCTTTCATCAATCGAATATGCAGTAGTGTCGATGGCTTTTTGAGCTTCTTAGTTTAGTTCTCTATGTGCTAAGAGATCATGGCCGGACAAATTGACATTTTGTGATATAGATGAAAATGATTGGAAGGAATAAGATAACAGCAGATAAAGAGCGAAACTGACTATGCTCATCTGTTTTCTGATAACCTAAGATAATATGGACGTGGTCTGGATTGTGTGCGATTTGGGGACTGATATTTGGCATCTAAAGATGCTGACTCTATAACCATACTGATAAGAAAGAGTAATAATTGTAGATGAAGCTTCACTTGTGAAGGATTTTGTTTATCATCATTTTGCTGGTCCTTCATTAGGTATTTAACCTAGACAATCCACAACAAGATTTTGGCATTGTGTTATCACATTAACCATCATCCATTTGATGTTTAACATGAGCATTACTGAACAGAACATCTCTAGTAATTGTGTTCTTTGCCTATGGTGTTATTTCTGTCATAATAAGAACTCCGGTCTACCAATTATCAGGTTCAGATGGATCACTGGCATGGATACAAACGGCCTCCTAGTGAGCAGGAATACTCCAATGAGGTTGAAATCGGTTCTGGCATAGAACCCACAGAGGAGGAACTTTCTGATCTATCACAAGCCTGTAACAAACTCTGGGAACTCGACTTGAACCGATTAATACCAGACAAGGACTATCAGATAGATTGTGGTGAGGGAAAGAAGGTCTATCAAAAGGAAGACATGGCACAGGGAAGCTTATTTAGCTGGCTGAGTGAAGATGTATTCAGAAGGCCTACTTACTCTCGCTTTTGTTCTCTTCTCGATAATTACAATCCAAATGGAGGTTGCAAAGAAGTTGTGACATCCGAAGAGAGGCAGGAACAGGTTGCTTTTATAGAAGAAATTAGCAGAACAGCACCAATCAAGTATCTTCACAAGTATTTGTCGTCCAAGGGCATGGTATCTGGTGACCGTCAAGAGTTCAAAAGTGTGATGATGCGACTATGGTTTGATCTCTATGGCCGAGGTGGTTCATCCAGTTCCTCATCTGCTTTTGAACATGTTTTTGTTGGGGAAATCAAGCAATGTGGTGAGGAAGAAGAAGTTTCTGGCTTTCATAATTGGCTTCAGGTAACCTATCTAGCTGCATTTTCCTTTCTTGTTCATATCTAAAATAAGAATGAGGTAAATGATTATAATACTTGGATCTTTATCAATTCTCAAACTAGTGTCCGGAAACTCCTTAGACATCTCTTGAACTTGTCCATGAGGAAATCCAAACTGGTAATCTCAAGAATCTCAGAAGTTTTGGCTTCTAGGTAATTATGGTTTTGACTTGGAGGTAGATCTTTTAATTGGAACTGTCGAATTAGTTTCAGACTCTGCCATCACTTTGTTTATTCTTTGCTTAATAATGCACTTAACAAAACAGTGTAGGTTCATAGTTTTAAGAAGATGACTTTCGCTCTTACTGAGAATTGGCACCTACATGTATCACTCTAATGTATTTTAAGATGCATCTTAACCAAAAGGGCAAAAAGTAGAAAGTTGTTTGTACATTTATTCCCTTTAGTACTTCTCTTTCTGTCTTAGACTCGGAATCATCTGGCATGCGTCTTTCCACCATGACAGAAGTAAAATATAGTATATGATATGAACAAAGTCGAAGTTGCAGTTTTTTTTTTTTTGGTCTGAGTTGCAGTTCAGTTTTGTCTTATTTCTTACTTTCTTTTTTTGTCCTGCCTATCCAGTTTTACCTAGAAGAGGCAAAAGGAAGAGTTGATTATCAAGGTTACATTTTTCCTCGACGCCGTGGGGAGATTGTAAGTAATAGCAATCCTATCATATCTGTTTGTAATTTAGGTCCGATATTAATTGGTGATCACCCAGGCTTTAGGGTATATGTTGTACTATAACTGGTTGTTCTATTTTGCATGTTTTTTTTTCTGTTAGATTCTCCTCACAACTGTACTAAGCGTTCCCTTTTAACATTGAAGCACCGGGACAGCGCACGTGCACATAAGTTGGATAACATTCATCTAGAGTACTAAGCACTGTGACATGCTGCATTCTGTGGAGATCCTTTTCTATTGCAATATATTCGTTGCATGATGTAATAATGTTATATATATTCTAGATCAATCATATTTCAAGAGACCCCGGAATCCAGTGACTACAGGAATCTGTGGCTGCCGTGCCTCTTGTTTCATGTAGGTTGGAGGCATTCTTTCTTGGAGTAGAGCCGTTGAACCAAGGGGCTATTAGAAGGGACTTGTACTGCATGTTGACGTTTTCAATGTTCACATGTTGAAAAATGAGGAATCTCTTTTGAGATATTTAGGGGGATTACGTAGTCCTTTTACAAACTACATAGTGCTATATTTGACAGTGTCATCCTAATCCAGTAGTCAAGCCCCATACATGCTTCGTCTGAAATATGCTTCCATATGCAGTGCATCAACAGGGTATTGTTCAGTACGCTCTGTTTTCCATGTTCTGATCCCCTGATTTATCTAAATGCGAATTAACAATTACCGTATTTCCAAGTGGAGCGGAGCATTTTGCCTTCTGTTAATATGATATATATTGAATGAATTAATGAGGTAGATTACTCTTACAATTGATTCAGGAATGTTTAGCTAACGTGTGATCTTTTACTTAAGTGCATTTTCAACTACTAATTTCTCTCGTCATTGCACTTGCAGCCGGACTCCGAAACCCAGTTGCTCACTGTTCAGTTTGAATGGAATGGGATTCTCAAATCCGTGTCAAGCACATTAGTTGGTGTGAGCCCGGAGTTTGAAGTTGCCCTCTATACTCTATGTTATTTTGTGGGTAGAGAGGACAACCACGTCCAGCTGGGCCCATATTCTGTTAACATCAAATGCTATAGGTTTGGGGATAGAATTGGATCGGTGTTCCCTGTATCTGAGTGCTGAAATTTGGTCATCGTGAGTACTGTTCTTTTGCTCTCGAGAGCTAAGTTGTAATCATCAGAAATTTTCTCGCTGGACGCTGTAGTGAAGAGAAAATCAGCTCATTCTGCTCCACAAACGTTTTAGTCTAGTGACATCAGGTGTTTTTGTAAAAAATGACATTGTAGTAATGCATGGCCATCATTTCGTGGATTTTCTCCTGTTAAGGATGTTTTAATATGCCTTGACTTTCATGCAATGAGAGTTCTCATGATGCTTCATTGATTTGAGTGTTTCCTAATGGCTCATGGATCTTTTCCTGAATCCTGCCAACAGTCAAGTAGCATTTCATTGTGAAGATAAGCCTATATGTTGTCGTTCCATCAATTCGTGTTTATCTATAGACCTCATGTTTATCTCCACACAAGTTGATTGTCTTTTCGGTGTGTGATCTTTCAAATGATCAGGGCACTTGTCAACAAGCAATGTATCGTAATATTAAGAAAGATCTAGTTGAGGACGACTGATGATATGGCTCGGATAATTGGTCCAGTTCACTTGGAGGGACGTTGATCTTATCAACATGAATAACTTGTTCCGTTTCTATTTGAAATTCATATTAGCAAGTCGAATTGGGTAAATGAGGGGCATAGTTCATATTTCCCGATGACTTAAACTCAGGCAGGAAGGCAGGATACTAGTGGAATCTTTCTTATGCTGCAGTAAATATACAATTTGGACATGTTGCTTAATGTCTTACAATTCTCTCTTTGAGTTTCCCTATGGATCCTTCTCTTTTTCTCTAGGCCTATGGTTCTTTGTTGCCAGCAGAACTAACATTTATCTTCAGTTGCATACTTTTGAAGTTGGAACTATACAACGGACAAGGATAGATAAGGACCGCGCGACCCGGGTTACTGAACCGGAGAAAAGAAGACGACCAGCATAAATATCCATGGCAAAGAGCAATGGATTTTGAGAAATATCTCGATACTTTGAGAGATATTTTTGCAAACAAGGAGTGAGTCTCGATATTTGAATCTTACGTCGTTTGGCAGGAAGGGTTCATTGAAAGGAGGCAACATGGAATTATGTTCTTTCTTTTCGTTCTTTACCGGGTTTAAAGACGCTTGGTCTAGACGTTTATCTGTTAAAAGTAGCTGAGACATTTGCACCCAAGGAACACTTGATCGGCCATGACCAAAAGAATGAAAGAAAGAACATTTGACGAGTCTATTGGGGATAGAATCGATATTGTTGGCTGTTTAACTATGGAGTGGCCCTAACAGTTTCTTCTCCAATTAATCGGTGTCAAGTTCAACATCACCGAAACACCTACTGATGCCAAACCTCAAGCTAAACAAACCCAAAATCTTGTTTACCCTACATTCTAATGTTACTCTAGAAAAATGAATTCCGTAACCCGGGTTTGTCAATCTTGGTAGCCTAAGTTCTCTTTCTCTCTCTCTCTCTCTATCTGAAATTTTGCTTTCACGCTAAGGAAGACACACCAGAAAACACGTTAAGGCACGGAGGGACCACACGCATGTGCGAAGAAGGAAGCGGATACGTTTGACAATGAGGAACCACAAAAAATAGGGGGGAAAAGAGGATGAAGGAGGTAATTGCAAGTTGAAAAGTCGTGGGGATCCCTTTTGTAGGATTTGCTACTTGACAAAAATTGGAGGGTGTGGGATTCAATGCAAAAGGCCAATTTAAAGTTCTCACTTTACAGAGACAGAGACATGCAAAGTTCGCGGATCCGAAGAGAAAGCAAGCAGGTTAACTGTCATTAACGTTTGCTATTTACTGAAGAAAAGAACTGTGGACCTTATTATAGCCAATGGTTCGAACTAAGTCTCCGGTCAATTGAGTTACAACCGTTTTTTCCTATCAAGAATCCATGTCGTTTTGGGAGCGAAACCCAATTTTTAGTAAGAATACGATAGTAATTCGCCAATAAAAGCGAGACAGACCGACATGAGCCGTTGCATCACGTAGCAGCCAACGTGTTCAACGGTACCGGACGCTTCGTCGAATTGACCAAAGACTTCTCAAGATGTGTCGATGCTCGAGATTAAGTCGACCCAACTTTCGGTTCCCAAATAGAATTCGACGTATATACATACGCGGTAGCCCAGAGGGAGACCATATGGGATATTTGTCAGAGCAAAGTAGTTCCTCAGGATGCAAATTTTGGGGGCCACAATGTCCCTCAAGAGCGTTCATGCTTAAAGAAAGCTCCTGATAGTTTACCTGTCATACTTTTTTCTTTTGAAACAGTTGCTCTTTATCATAGTTCTTCTTCTTCTTGGCAGTCATAGAACTTATTCTGAAGGGTTAATACCACGAAAAATCATAAATTTGTACACTCGTGACAAATTTACCGTAAATTTAACATAAAAAATCCAAAATTGATACACCTGTGACAGTTTTACCCCAAACTAATTTTTTGACCATCAAAAACTCTAAATTGATACACCCGTGATAAATTTATCCTCCGTTAGTTTCCGTTAAATTGGATTAATATCATAAAAAAATCCCAAATTGGTACACCTGTGACAAACAAATGGTTAAACCCCAAACCGATATATCTGTCAACTGCCACGTGTTATCCAACTTAGCAAATCGACGATAAAATTTAACAGAAATTAACAGGGAATAAATTTGTCACAAGGATACCAATTTGGAGTTTTTGGTAATCAAAAAATTAATTTGGAGTGAATTTATCACATGTGTACCAGTTTGAAATTTTTCGTGGTATTAACCCTATTCTGAACACAAAGATTTAGCGCCATGACTCTCCCCTTCTATCCATAATGGCACTCTATCGTTCTCTTTCAATTTGAAATATTTGACGGTGCTTGTTCCTAAGGTTTCAGCGTGAGGAGATAAGGCCTCGCGTCCTCCACAAGAAAATTGCAAAATGGTGGGCCTAGGGTTTACGTGGTGGCAACAGCAAAACCCTCCTTTGAATTAGGACCATTCCATCCACATCAACCTGCACAGAAATTCCAAGATATCACCTCTTAGTTCAGGTCCCACCCTCTGTCTATGCACTTGATCGTCGGCACGAATATATCTCAGGACGTGAACAGTTCCTAGGCAAAAGCAGTTCCTTTCATTGCCTACTACAATCTCATGTAAATTCTAGTTAGAAGTCTGACACCATCAATCTTTTGGTTGCATCCTTGTATTGTATTGTGGTGAAAAATCAAAGCGTTACTCAGCCCCCAAGCAAAACATCCTGTGTCCGCCACTGTGTATATATGAAATTATAGATAGACTGGGAAGAAAAAAGCATATCATAACCCAATAGAACAAGTCAATCACATTGCGAAAGCACGATAAATTCTACACTGAAAGCTAAAATAAAAGGCATAGCCTTGAATCAGTTCCATTTCATCACATTATTCTTAAAATGAGTGTAGCATCCCAGAATTTTTATATGAGGTAAGTAATTACTACGTTAGATGAATAATACTTAAGGTTTCATTCTCTTATAAAGCTCTAGATATTATGTCGACATGAGAAGAGACATGAGGACTGTTTCCATATCTTTTGAGTTGAATTTCTTTAATTCAAGAGATTTGACTTTTCTATTGATAATTTTTCATGGGGAAGTCGTTATTGGGTATGTTGAATAGAAGGAGATTATTCGCTGATCAGGGTAGTAATCAAGAAGAGGAGAAGTTAAGGCAGTAATCACAACGAGTCCACTTCGTACCCGTAGATTTGCGTATGAGAAAAAGATGCAACGTTTACAATGAAGGCTACGGAATGGCTGGGGGCTCTACAGATCTATACTTTCTGAACATCACCATTGATTCTATTCACCGTGTGTCATCCGTTGAACGAGTCCCTCTGATATTCCTAGATTCGCATGAGAGATGCGACTTTTGATCCTTTCATGGCCGACCAACGACTCGCAAACCCCAAAAGAAGAAAAAAAAGGTCCTTAAAACATGCACAAGAGAAGGTTAGATGGTGAATCAGTTGAGAAATTGAGCTTTGATAGCTCGAAAGCGAACAGGGACAAGAATCCAAGAACTGAAGAGCATAGAAATAGAGCAGCGTCATTGTCAACCGCAAGCTTTCCGTCCTGAAAAGGGCCAGCCATGCATTCTTATCTTAAGCGAACCAAAACCAAGAATATCTCATAAATCTCTCTATTTTCTTGGCAATAACAAATTCTCAATTTTTATGTCCGCAAGAATGGAATTCCAAGGGAAGTAAGGAGGAGAAAGACCCAAGAGAAGGAGGCTCCTTTCTGCGACGTTTGCATGGACCTTGACGAAGCAAAGCCACCCGTTGATTATCACGTACAGGAGATAGAGTTGAGCATTCTATGGAGGGTTTCACACAGTGTGGACTTGAAAGGTGCACCCCACGCATAATCCAAAGGACAAGAAAAACGATGAATTTACTAATGAGTTGGAACGAATTTAAAGGAATAAGAATTTATTGCAAGAATGTATCCGATGAAGAATGAACAAGAAAAGCAACAGGAGGTGGATTTTACACAAAAGTCGCCGTATTTAAAATAATGAATAAAATGGCACAGAGAAGGCGTAGCTCAAAGTGAAATTACGACATCATGAAGCAATTATCACATGGGAGATTATGCATGCGTGCAAGCAATCCATGGAGTAACCAATCATTCCAAGCAAGCCTATCAAAGTTTGGACATTCTTCAAATTTCAAATAACAAGTAGTTTGTTCGCAAAGGCCTCTCGTTGCCCAGTGATGACCTTGCAGCGACGCCCCCATCACTTCACAACACGGGCGGTGCCAAACTTTGTAAAGTAATTTTTGTATCGATAGTCACGCAGAATGAATTCTCGGGCTGAAGGGTTTACGAAAACATATTGCTTCCAAGGCCAAGTAGGATGATATCATGTGCTTTTATGACTACTTCCATAAGTACTGAAAAAGTTATTCCCACCTTTGACTCTCTTATTAGTTGAATCAAACACAACATACACTTAGGATGAGGTTATTCTAAGATATAATTTAAAATAATAGGTTCCAAGAGTCAGAACGCTTCGTGTGAGTTTTAGACATTTAAATAATGTTTTTGGCTGAAGGATACTCATGAGAGGTAACTAGACAGAATCGTTGACTAGTTAAAAGCCGAACCTTTACGAGAAGTCTTTGCACTCTTATCATCAAAATGAGTTTTGAGAGGGTACAAAACACCGACCGACGGTGGATCAAACCAAATGACTCGGATCGAAAAGTTGGAGCTGACTAGGATTTGAATTTTTTGCGCACCATCGTTGTCTCCTTCAAAAGGCCGAACACGCTTTCCCTTTATAAATAAAGACACATTCTTCATCCATTTCTATATTCCCCCCACTTGCCACAAATCTTGAATAAAAAATGGCTCTCACGCTACGTTCTTCCACGTCTTTCATCAATCTAAAAGATAACAAATCCTTCAAAACCCCCGATGACATCTCGGGCACGGTTAGCTTCGCACAGATAAAGCCCTCACGGCGTCTCCTAGTGAAAAATTCGATGCATGAAGTAGCAGAAAGAGGCATGATTACGGAGGCGAGGAGGAAAGATAGATCGGCAAAGCATCATGCTTCGTCGGTTTCTCATGGCCAAGATGGCACGAAGGTTCCGGTGTATGTAATGTTGCCTCTTGACACGGTAACGCTCGGAGGGAATCTGAACAAGCCGCGGGCTATGAACGCGAGCTTGATGGCCCTAAAGAGCGCGGGAGTTGAAGGGGTAATGGTGGACGCTTGGTGGGGATTGGTGGAGAAAGATGGACCGATGAAGTATAACTGGGAAGGTTATGCGGAACTTGTGCAGATGGTCGCAAGGCATGGCTTGAAGCTTCAAGTAGTCATGTCCTTTCATCAGTGCGGAGGCAACGTCGGTGATTCTTGCAGGTATTGGGTTAAATTCGATGCATCTTTCCTCGTTCATCTATTTACTAGTTTAAGTCGAGAATCAAAATCATAATCGCTTCTTACTTAACCATCAAGAAGATACATCACCTTGGCTGAATTAGTATTAGAATCATCAGAATCTTCTTGTTGTCAGGTACGTTCGCTCAGTCGAGCTAGTGTCTCAAACAGAAAAATCTGTAATTACCCAATTCGTGCAATTTCTAATTCCTTATTCGAGAACTTCAAATCAATACCGTCTTAAATTATGGATGACTTTTCCCTTTTATGATTCTGCCATGGACGAAGGTTGTAAAAACTTTTTCCTTCATTGATTATAGCATTCCTCTACCTCCGTGGGTGCTCGAAGAAATCAGTAAGGATCCTGACCTGGTCTACACAGACAGATCTGGCAGAACGAATCCCGAATACATCTCCCTAGGCTGTGATTCATTGCCAGTGCTGAGAGGAAGAACACCCATTCAAGTCTACGCAGATTACATGCGGAGCTTCCGGGACAGGTTCAGTGGTCACCTGGGCAGTGTTATTGTGGTAAGCATCAATCACATCCAAGGATGCTTGATTTAGTAGCTAAGAGCACTATTTTAATCCAATCTTTATAAGCAGCAAGTAAAGTACATATTTCAGGAGCACTCTTAACTTATAGCATGGAGATCTATTATGGAGACAAATCGTTGAACCATTTCTGGAAATGAAAACGTTGTAGCAACATCTTCGTATTCATTCCCCTGAATATGTATTGACCCCAGCAAAATATTCCCATCCTAAAGCTAGAGGCTTAATCATCAACCAGGCTTTTGCCTTAGAATTAGCATTAAGAATTCACCTAGAGAGGCGCAACCATCACTTCAAACTATATAGGAGTTCAAAGTTCTGCAAGCTACTTGGACACAGTTGAATGGATCCTACACGAGCAATCAAGCAGAAAACGGTGCATCTGAATAATTAGTGAAGATTTAAGAAAGGAACAAAACATACAAATCGAGTCATGAAGAGATAGCATCAAAATATTACAAGACTAGTGTGCTAATTTTCAAGTGGTGGACCACTGGCATCTGGAAACATGTCTAAAATATCGTCGGCTTACTTCATAATAATAAGTGCTAACATTTTCCTACCAGGAGCATAACTGTTTTTCTCGAAGCACATATATTCATCTGGGTTTTTACTGCAGGAAATTCAAGTTGGAATGGGTCCTTGCGGAGAATTGAGATATCCATCGTATCCTGAAAGTAACGGAACTTGGAGGTTTCCAGGAATTGGAGAATTCCAGTGCTATGACAAGGTAATTGTTTGGAAAAATGATTCTCAATGTACACTGACCCCACCGTTCCTGGAAATGTCCAACGATTAAAATATAACAATGACCACTTCTTTCTCAGAATCAAATAGTAACAGATAAACCATAAAGTACCATACCGAGAAATTAGTCGATGATTAAATCAAGAAGCATGAACAGTCACTTCTATTACTGAATTTGGTAAATCTCACTGTCAACATCTCTGTCTTAATGCAGTACATGAGATCTTCACTGCAAGCATCAGCAGAGGCACTAGGGCACATGAACTGGGGAAATACTGGGCCCCATGACTCTGGACAATACAGCCAGTTTCCTGAAGAAACTGGGTTCTTCAGACGGGAAGGGACATGGAACACTGAGTACGGACGGTTCTTCCTAGAATGGTACTCTGAAAAGCTATTAGAGCATGGCGATAGAATCCTAGCAGCTGCTAAAGGAGTATTCCAAGGAACCCAAGCAAAACTCTCAGGAAAAGTGGCTGGCATTCACTGGCATTACAGAACAAGATCTCATGCAGCTGAATTAACAGCTGGATACTATAACACCAGAAATCGTGATGGGTATCTACCAATCGCACAAATGATGGGAAAACATGGAGTTGTATTTAACTTCACGTGCATGGAAATGAGAGATGGAGAACAGCCTGAGAATGCGAATTGCTCTCCAGAAGGGTTAGTTCGACAGGTAAAGGTGGCAGCTAAAACTGCAGGAGCAGACCTTGCTGGGGAGAATGCACTGGAGAGATATGATGCAGGTGCATATGCACAAGTTCTCTCAACGAGTAGGTCAGATTCTGGCAACTCATTGAGTGCTTTCACATATTTGAGAATGAATAAGAGGTTATTTGAAGAGAATAACTGGCGAAACTTAGTTGGGTTTGTGAAAAGCATGTCCGAAGGTGGTCGGAACAGACTATCCGAGTCCGACCTGAGCAGGACTGACCTCTACGTTGGTTTTATCAAAGAGAAAAGTGTCACCAAAGTCAAGGAGGCTGCTCTTGTGTAGAAAACAATATATGGGCATGTTAATGTATGATTATGCAGCATACTGAGGCAAAGACTATACTATTATAGCGAATATACAACAGATTTTATGGCACGGCATGCCAAGTGTTTAGAAAGAGTAGTACGAAAAATGTATGGGTCAATCGTGTAATTTTTCGAAATCATGTCAATATACAGGAAGAGGGGTAGACCCAATATCTGGGTTTACTATAGTCCATCTTTTTCTCTCAAATTTCGTTTGCTCTTTGGCTGACAGATCTGAACTACAATAGCAACTTCTGTATGCGAGACTGATTTGTGTTCCATATTTTTCTTCTTCAGTCCATCCTTCCCCCAAACAACTCAGCAGTAAAAAAATTTGTGAGCGTTTCTTCTCTTGTTACCTTTTTTGAAGGGTTGTAGGGAGTGGCTGCTACTTCTTTTTCATCCATTTCAAAAAGATGACACTTACCATGTCAATATGTTAAACTGAATATCCAGAACTCTTAACTTTCCTGGTCTGTTGCAACATCGCTAAGACCTTCCTCTCAGGGTCATACTGAACATTAACCGGATTTGCCCATGAAAGTATCAGCAAGATTGCAGGTGTGTAAAAAAATCATTTATATAATGAATACAAAGACACATTTGCACAAGGGCTTTAAGCTTCTAACCTATTATTGATATCACACTTTGACGGCCAATGTCTACAATATGGATGACCTGCACATCTATTTTTACAAAGAGTACTCTCCTCTATGCTAATCAGCCTAACCCCACTTATCAAATGTCCACATCCTTTTCGAGGTTAATGCATTACATGAATGACGCTTGTTTTACAGGTGGTCGTTGTATTTCTGATAAATAGGTTTTATCTGTTTTTCAAAATAGGAAGAAGAATGAAAAATGTGGGCCAACTTTTGAGCAGTAAAACTCTCTTCCGCATACCAGTAGTAAGACTAACTGACTAATTGCTGATAAAGACATAAGCTTGAGAAGACACAGCATAGGGGAAAATTCCTTCAACTTGGAATTCACAAGGATGCAAAGCTTCTAGCCAAGAGATGAACTATCTAGAGTACTTTAGATATGCTATTTCTTAGCACCGGACGACCAAAATCACACAGTTTAAGGGAGAAGCATACAAAGACATGATAAAAATATGTTCCAATCTGATAATAAACAGGGAACGGCATCACTATTAGGATATGTAAAGGGAGCAGTGCAGCCTCGGTTAGAAGCTTGTGTACATTTCCACGACTTTTGACAGTAGATGGGAGGAAAAGAAGCACGAAATCCAATTAAGCTAATGGATCGTGCTTTCAGATGAGACGTGTTCGAGCAGAGCAGACACGAAACTCTGTTACCGCACCTTTTCCAACACGATCCCACCTTAAATTCACCGAAAACCGGAAACCACATTTCTCGTGCCGCTCACAGCCGCCAAATCCGAACCCATTTTCCGCCGCCCAAAATGCTAAAACCTACAGCAACGACCGAACCGAAAAAAACCGGCACACGGCCAAGCTCCGAACTGAACCTGAGCATCAAACGAAGACGTACTCTCACGCGGGAGACGTGGAATCCGCGCCGCCGTCGCCGTTCCTTCGAAGACCATCGATCAGATCGCCGAGCTCCTTGCGAGCCGATTCCCTCCCGAACATGAACCCGTACCTAAAGACCAGGAAAAGACGCTCCGATCAGAACCGTCACTTCGAGCTCCCTCCGATCGAGGAGCTCCGCTCGATGCGATGAAAAAACAAAGGGGAGCGAACGCTACCAGAAGGAAATGGCGGAGAAGACCCCGGCGGTGGCGACGGTGTGGAGGAGCGTGAAGGTCTTCTCCATCGGGAGAAGAGATTGCAGAGCGCACTTCGAAGAGCCGGCGAGCAAGAGAGAGGTCCGGGAGGAAGGAGAAAGCGAGCGAAGTCGGAGAGGCTTTTGCCGGGGCTTCAAGGGGCGAAACTTGAAGGTTTTGGGCAGCAGTTGCGTTAGCTGCAATTCCCCTCCCGCTCTCTCCTGCCTGTGGAAGTTATCGCGCTGTCAGAATTTCCCGGGAAAGCTGACGAGAAAAAGAAGCCCGAATGAACTGGGCCCAGGGCCCAAATTGACTGATTAAGCCCAGTCTCCAACAAGCATCTTATGTTTTTTTTTTTTTTTAAAGGATGGTTATTAATTCCTCGAGCAAAAATATTTTACACTTTCACCCCTGAATGATTAACATGGGGATAGACTTTAATTGCAAAATTAACTCCAAGCACACGTGTCATCGACATCGATCCAACATTGAATGCAAATGACTGGTTTTACACCGAAGGTGAATCTAAGGCTCATCTTATTTCTTTTAAGTAAAATGTTAGAAAGTGCTCTTGAGACTCCTAACGAGAAGTATTAATTATGCTGTGAATGTTGCGTTTTTATTATAAACGAGTGAAAAAAAAAGAATATGTTTTCAATATCCAAAGTTATTTATTATGCATTGAGAATTGCTATTTCCATGTTTAAGTCCTGACACTTATTAACAAGACCCTCCTTGAAATTCAAGCTTAGCTACTGTTACGGTTATTGCCCAAACAATCCCACGATTGCTGTAGGCCTACCGACGCTGTAAAAGTAATTATCGCAGTTATCATAACTTTTTATTTAAAGCAATTCAGTCCAGAATTTTTCACAAAGGTTCTTCAGTTGGGAAAATTTGCAAGTGCGACGCACCTAGAGATTGCGCCATAGTAAAAATCGGAGGCATGGTGACTAGAAACACTTCGTTGTAGCTCCGTAAAAGATTTTTTAGACTTAATTGCACTAATTACAAGGTATAGGTCCTCTTATGCGGAGTTGCTGATCCCACATATGTAAGTGTACCAACTCCATCCCAGAGTCACAAGTCAAAGGAGGAGAAAAAAGTCAAAAACACAACGACCTCAACAGCAACAACCACAGATAACAGAACGAACAAAGGACCCAGAAAAAGGTTTGATTTGTACGGCAACGAGAACAACATTCCCCAGATTCTCAATGACCACAGCAAAAAAAAGGAAAGAATATAAATTAATCCCCTCAAATTCCTCCCCGCAAACTCTGTAATAACTCCTACATTTACATCTCCATGTCGCCTCTCTCTTCTTCTCGCATACTTTCGTCTTCCGCGATTCTAAAGATACTTTATTTACTCGTACCGATCTTGACATGAAACGAACACGCCTCTTAGGATTAGAGTGATTCATGTTACTTCCTCCTTTGACCGACTTTTCTAGTACCAGATGATTCAGCATTCCCAGTGACAGAAGTTGCTGTCTCTCCTGATTGCTCTATTGCCTGCTTTAAGGTCAAGACCACCTCACTCATTGTGGGTCTGTCTTTTGCATTCTTGCTCAAGCAACTCTCCGCCAATTTCATGACTGTCCTAGCTGCAGCGAAAGAGTACTGGTTCCGTAGCCGTGGGTCCATTATCATTATGAACTTCTTGCTGTCTGCAGGGAAATCTTTCACCCAGTCGAGGAGCTTCTGCTCCTTTGGCGGTCGGCTCCTTTCCACCGCCCGCCTCCCTGTGAGGATCTCGTAGAGCACCACCCCAAACGTCCATATGTCGCTCTGGATTGTGAGGTGGCCCGTCTCGACGTATTCCGGTGCAGCATAACCATATGTTCCCACCACCTGATTATCGTTATCACAAGAAAGGAAAATGCTGTCATGTCTACGATAATGGTGATTCTCAGTTTTTTACTGACTATTAATCATGCTTCGCATTGATGCCTAAAGAACAGAAAATGTGTCTTAAACACAGGTTTGAGTCGATAGCTCTTACCGCTGTAGTCACATGAGTGCGGTCATCTGCCGGCCCTTCTCTTGCCATCCCGAAATCAGATAGCTTCGCGTTAAAGTTTTCGTCCAAAAGGACGTTCGATGATTTAAAATCTCGGTAAATCACCTGCACAATCAGTCAAGGGAATTGCTTCAGCGATACATAGAAATGACGGTTGACTCCAGCTTAATAACACCTACAGAAGCCGTGCTGCATTCTTTTGACTAAGTAGGTGCATTGGATCAGAGGAAGAGTTAGAGATGGATAGGGAAATTCCAATCCTGTTAGTAAATTACCAGTCTCACGTGCCTTAAAATCCTACCGAAAATGCTAGTCAGATCATACCATCATATGTTTAGACATGCATAGATGGAGTTAGAGCATCATATATTCAGGCAGCAAAAAGACAGCCCAATTGAACCAGATACAATCATGTAGTCAACTAACTTGATTATGTTGGCCATAAGTTGTACCTTGGGTTCCATGACCTCATGCAGATAAGCCAGTCCCTCGGCTGCTCCAAGAATGATCTCTAATCTAGTTTTCCAGGGCAAAGTAGGCAAAGCCCTGTTGAAGAGGTGGTCGTCCAAGCTCCGGTTTGACATGAACTCATAGACCAACAGGAGCTGCACGCCCCTTTCATTTTCCACAGAGCAGTATCCTACAAGCTTCACGAGGTTCGGGTGATCCACGATACTAAGACACTGAACTTCCGTAAGCCATTCTTTACGACCCTGCACATTGAAAGAAAACGCCCATTAGAATATGAAATCGATCCGCAAGTCTGGAGGGTAGATAGTAGATACAGCTAAATTGAGAAAATGAAATTGTGCTGATGCTATTTTGCCATCGAATTCAACCTTAGGAAACCAAAAACAGTGCCTTAGAAAGAGGTATTCCTGCCAAGTAGGAGCCACCATTATCTCCACAATTTAATGCCAGAAACAATGCTGGCAACCAGATGCAAAGGCTGATGATCCTCTCAAGTGCAAATTTTTTTACCGATTTTCACATCCTCGCTCATTTTTCAGAATTTTTCCTAATTATTCCTAGGCATAGGCACTCGCACCAACTTCATCGGCTGTGTTCATTTGCAGTATTATTTCGAAAATTTTCACACTATAGGCACCAAATAGGACATCGAGTTGATTTACTCTGAATTAATTGCTGTTAGCCATATCGGATCATGCACTCTACATCAATAACTAAGACAAGTAGATAAGATTACGCATTATCCAAATGCCATTAGCCAAAACAATTATCAAACTGCATCTTCACCAAGTGAAACACCTATTCAATAACCTCCATCTACTACAATTTTGTATTTTATCTGTCAATCCACATTCCCCATCTACTGCAAACAATATCATTGTTCAGGAGACCAAATGACCCATTAAATCAAACTGTAGATTACAGAACCAATGCAATGATAAGCAACATCACAGAAAGACCCGACTTCCGAAAGAAGGCCAGCGCTACAAAGATGTAAGAATATCTACAAGCACTCGACAGTGATAAAAATGATTGAACTACAAAAGCCATCATCACCTGCAATCCATTCTGATTAAGCTTTTTGATGGCAACCACGAGAGGACGACCTTTACCATCGGGAGGGCTAACAGTGCCCTTATAAACACTCCCGAAACCCCCTTCACCGATCTTCAACATCCTGCTAAATCCATTTGTGGCTTGCCTCAGCTCTTCGAACGTGAAAGCCCTCAAAGTGTGTTGTTTCTCTTTGTACAATTCAAGTATGCTTCTCCTAGGGGATGGCAATGAGCTCAATGACTTTGTCGTCCGATTCGCCGCCGAATTGCCGGGTTCTCGCTCGGTTCCTAACTCCGGGGCGGATGTAGCTTTGTCCTTGCACTTGGATTTGTTCTTGAAGGAAAAACACTTCATCTTGTTTTCTTTATCGATTCGAATCTTCAAGAAAATCCTAGGACAGAACCCAAGTTCAACCTTTTTTGGGACGATCAATCTGTCTACGACAGAGAGAAAGCAAATGGGTTGCGCGGGAGAGATTCTTTGCAGCGAAAAAGAGGAGTATATAAGCGAGAGAAAACGAGTAAAACCCCCCAAGTTGATGAATCCGTGGAAGTGCCTGAAACAGAACGAGTTATAATGGTGATTTAGCTCCAAAAAAACCAAGACTCGGATGAGAATTCAGCTCAAGAAATTGTACAGGAGAATATTGACATTTCAAAGGGGGTTAGGTGTGAAAGCCGTGTCATCGAAGAGAAAAGTGTGGAGTTTGAACGTGAACCCCCAAAGGGAAGAAAAGGACAGAGAGAGAGAGAGAGAGAGAGAGAGAGGAAGAACCAGCAAAAGAGAACCCAGATGAGAAAAAGAAAAACAAAAAATGAATTTGTCTTGCAAAAAACTCATCAATCCATTCAACGCCCATCCGTGGATGAGAGAGAGAGAGAGAGATTGACTCGATTGTTCAACGATGTCAAGGACCAAGAAGACCAAAGAGACCTTTCATACCTGTACCTGCACATCCCTTTACCACCATAACTCCCCCCATCCTCCCGTCTCTGTGTTCATCCATCTAAAGCGCGTTAAGGTTTTCACCGGGTGACGATGTGTCCTGAACCTTTGAATCTTGACTCAGGAAAGGAGTCGTGATCGTCTTGTCTGGTCCGGACAGTGGACACCCGGTGAGAACGGGGCACTCCCGTCCTTGCGTTTGAAACGATGGCAGGAAACAGGGAATTTGCAAGAGAATGTGGTTGGCTGTTTCTCCAGTGCAGTCGCCGTCCATACGAAAAACAAGTAGGGCCCGCTGGCGTATGAATCGAGAGCAATTTTGATATTTGGCGACGATGAATTTTGTTACACAAGATCATACCGTATTAGCAAGATTCTATGCACACAGCATGAAACATGAGGCAGAGGCCGCTTAGGATCGTGTGTAAATATTAAACTCTACATGTGCAATGCATGTCAACCTGTCGCCAAGAGCACTCTTTGAGGTTCACATGACACTACTTTTGAGAGGTTGAATTATTGTACATCCCCAAACATATCCGAATCGATTAATAAGGTGAAATAGATCAGATCTTTGAACGAGAGACTTACCAAACTCGCCGGTTGATGCGTGTATAAAATTTATGTATTGTTTTCCAGATGAGTCGGGTGTGCCTAAAAATAATGTATAAAAAAAATCTTATGTGAGTGTAGCCACTAGGCGTGTTACTTAAGGGTGAGAGGTTTTTGAATTGGTTCAGTTTTCACCTAGAACTTACCTTGTCAGAATCGATTCTCCAGCTTTTGGAACTTGAAACCTACAATGCATACTCTGGAATTGAAAAAAAGCTACATTGTTAATTGATTCCGGGATCCACTTGGGAAATCAGCCAATTTCTTTTCTTTTCTTTTTGTTTCATTTTTAGTTAAGCAATGAAAATGAACCCAACAACAAAAATCCACATTTATCACTAGCAACAATCCATAAAATGCTGAATGCGTTAAATAAAATAAATAATAAAAAGTTCAAAACACAAACTAGTACTAACGAGGAAGGAGCTCTTTAGCGGCACGCTCATAGTGATTGGACCAGAGCTACAATTTCTTGATGCGATGGACATCCTACCGGAGCGCTGGGTCAAGCTTCCCTTTACCCGAGGTAGATGATGAAGCATCATCATAAATTTTTATTTGTTAAAAAATACATTAGTTATAGTCCCTATATTATTCTCTCATAGCCTAACTTTTTAGAAACAATTTGTACCCTACACGCCAACTTCAAAAGCATTCAATTTAAAGATGGGGACCTTCACTACCAATAGAAAAGGCGGTGGGTGAACGAAACTATGAGAAACTAGATATAGAGACAAAGAAAACAATGTAATCTGACAACAATATAAAATGTTGAGTCAGCGGGTATTGGTTTGTTATTAATATATGGCGAAACCAGAAGATAAAGAGGCGGATGAGACTTGAGACGCGGCTTTTGTTATTGTTAGCAAGAGTAAAAAAAAGAACTTAGGGTAACTCAGGTCCGGCTCATCGGTTCTTGGTCTAGCTCTTCGATCCCCTGTTTGGTTCTTACCTAGGAATCAGGAATCAAAATAGACGGTACAGGTTTCACTTTTTTTTAATCGGAAACCAAACTAATAACTGCGGGAATCTAAAATCGGACCGATTCCTATGGGCGACTCCCGATTCTACCGTAGACTCATGCTTAGCCCTAATGCAACTTAAGATCGTAGTTTGCTAGAATTGTACTCTCCTTCTTGGAAGCCGAATTTTTTGTGCTTTCTTCGTAGAAAGGAGCGCTACATATGTGCACTAATTTATTGCCCTCCTACTTCCCCTCTCTCTTTATTATTTAATTATTTAATTGTGACTCATTCATATTAAATAAATATATTTGTTTAAGATTATAATAACACAATCTCATGCTTTTCCACAGTAGGTAGACAAAAACTTCCATTATCTATATGCATTCCGATATAATACAATATTTGTGATATATTATAATTGTGAATTTTTCATTACATCAATTAGTTGCTTTGTACTTTCATCATATAATTTTACGAATAAATTTTACAACTAATGATACGGTAAATAATATTGTATTTATGCCAAAATACTTCATGCTCCATTTTAATAATATTTATGGTAAAATGTTTCCTTTATTGAGGAGTTTTATATAATAAAAAAAATGGTTCTTCTTCTTATAAATTTACATTTCCCGAAAAGACCACTTATAAATAAATATCTTAACTTTCTCATTTTAGTTCGATGGCTTCTTATTTATCTATTTTTTCTTCGTAAATGTAAAATTCCGCGCAACGCGTGGGTAAACGTTCAGTCGAATGGATGTTTTGCCCTAAAGATGCAGTGAATGAGAAGGATTATGAGCACCCGTTGTCTCGAAAAGTCAGCACAAGTTTTGGAAAGAGCAGCATGACTTTTCGAAAAGTTCATAAGTTAGGCATGCACTTCCGTGAACGATTGAGCTCTTTGGCAGTCTGAAGACCCACGACTTTTCTTGTATTGGTCTATCTGACATGGTCCTTCAGGAGTTTCTCACAAGCTTCTTTACCTGATCCTGTGGACCCTTTTTAACTTTTCTCAGCCTCTTCCTCTTCAATTCGTGGAGCACCAAAAGTCAAGAGGCTGTCCTGAAATGCTTTGAAATATCATTAAGTAGAATTAGGTTCACAGAAGCAGATTTAACCCCGATTAGAGCTACGACATGTTCGCTTCAAATCTGCCACGTATGTGCTTACGATGCCTAATGTCTCAGTTGAGTAACGAGTCTAATTACAATGCCCCTTTCCGGGTAGAGGCGGGAGGAGGAGGAGGAGGAGGAGCCTCTTTGAATTACGTATCGACCTTCTATGGAGTCGGGTAATTTGCGAGTCAAATTTGCGCGTGGATTACCTTTTTCCTTTCCTAGGAACATGGCTAATTGACGAGTCCATAATTTTTTTTTTTCCAATGAAGTCAAACGTGTGGACTAAGGCTATAGATGCACATGTTATGGTTTGTTCATGTTGGGGTCAATTTGCTCGAGTCAAGTGGACGTTGGTGGACCAAAGCTTCTCACCAAACCACCAACTTACGCTGCGAATGATAATTATTATATTTTTATTTTTCTGTTCCAGAAACAAATTTGGAATAAAAATCCGTTTGGTAAGGCAATTTTATTTTTCAATTTCTGGAACAAATTTTGATTTCAGAAATAGGTTTGGAACAGAAATGAGTAGTAAAAATTTTCTACTTTTCTATTTTTAGAACAAAAAAAAAGAAATTCTTCTCATCGCTCGCTCTCGCTACTAGTCGGTCGTCCACCCATCACCCATCACCACCCACTTGTCGGCCGCCGCCTACCACCGCTGTCCGCTGGCCACTGTCTCCCGCCGTTGCTTATTGTGGGCCGCCACCCGCCTCTGTCGGTCACCGTCTCCCGCTGCCGACCGCTCGCCTCCGCCCTTCTCCCGCCGCAGCCCCCCCTCGCCGCCGGTCGTTGCTCGGCTCCTGCTGCTACCCAACGCCGACTGCCTCCAGCCGCCGCCCTCCGCACTGGCCGCGTCGCTGTCTGCCACCGCCTCCCCCACCGTCCGCCGCCCTCTGTTCGTTGCCATCGTCCGCCCTCCTCTCGCCGTTGCCCCCCTCTCGCTGTCGCCCGCCTCCCGCTGCTGTCCGACCCCAGCCGCCTCCAACCACCGTCCTCGACACTGGCCGCATCGTCGTACGCCGCCGCCTCCACCCGCCGTCAGCCACCCGCCGTTCACCCGCCGTCAGACGCGAAAAACGGAATAGGAGTGTAATCACACGGCGAACGGACAATCGGAAAAATAACCAGAGTCGCCGGCGACATGGCCGTCAGTAAAAGAATTCCCGACGGTTGCGCCGACGGTCGAGTTATCGAACCATGCTCAGCCGCCCGTTTATCCCAAGAGCTCGGCCTATGACGTCCGAAAAGCAGTAATGTTGAAACTGCCGAAACAGCTTCAAAGGTCATCGGTTTTCAAAGTCAATAGCTCGGTCCAAGGGCAACCTCAGAACGTCACTTCGATATTTATTTTCTTGATCACCAGCTCTTGTTTTTCCCTCCGACGTCGGGCCAAGGGGGGGAGAACTAATACGTCAACAAGGGTTTTCTTCGCCTTTCTGATAAGGATGGAACTGGTTTTAATATGGCAACGAATCGAGAAAAAACAACCTCAGAAGGTCGAAGGGGTCCTACCCAAAACGAAAAGGTCAAAAGAAACGAGCCAACGGAGGCCGCGTTTTGCATCGCACGACAATAAATAACATAGACACGTCGATTTCTTAGGATGTACATTTGCTTGGTGACTTGGGGAATCGCCTTGCGCCTTCCTGGAAGCCACACCATGTCGGAACGCTTTCATCCAATCTAATCTTTGATTAATTGCCACGGAAACGGGTCACGGCATCTTTGGTTCCTCTTATTTTCCTCTTCCACACTCGGAAAGCGACGCCACTCGTCCGATGCGAATCAAAGTCAATCCGGTTTATTCGGCTACGAAACTGGGATTTGTGCATGCTATGATGCCAATGAAGAAAAACCCGAAGAGAAAGCAAAAGGACCAGAAAAGTTTTGTGAACTTAAATTGACCTGGGGCGTTTTGACTGTGGAAGAATCGAAAAGGAGAAAAAGAAAGGGTTGACCAGCTGCCATCGTCGCCCTAACGCAATACTGAGTGATGGCACTTGCTGCGTTTGATTCTGCTACACTATTCTGGTCTTGTTTTCCCCGCGAACCTTTGAAAATCCCTCGAACATATCCCGGCAAACGATTCACATCTCTTTTAACAAAGTTACTGCAGATTCACCTTCCCTTTTAAGCTGTCATAGGGTACTACAAATGGACTTCGCAGACGAAGCCAAGATATTGCCAAATCGAATGACAACTGGTATCCATTAAGCAGCCAATCATTAAGTCTAGCTAATCACCAATGAGCATTGCAAAGTAGTTTCCCTGGAGATTGTTTGGGTGCACCAGCTGGAGAGCAATGCAAGAAGTGCAGCAAATTGGCAGAAAATGATGGGGCGGAGCAAAGCAACATTGAACCTTACACATAGCTTGAGACTGTAGTTTTCGTGTCCCGATCCTATAGGACTTCAAATTGTTGGAGTTGGCGAATACTTCGGTGACCCTTGCTTCTCACACCAGGAACGCCCACGTGAGCTTAGGGAAACTGAAGTATTATCCGACGACATGTGACCCCTGCATGCAGAATGCGGGGGTTCGGGGGCAGCGCCCCCGACACGGGTGTCCCGCTGCCCGGTTAGCGGGCGGGGGTTCGGGGGCAGCGCCCAACGCAGGGTTCCGCTGCCTGGGCCACGGGATACCTTGCCGCTCGCCAGCGGTGAGCGGATTCGGCTGCCCGCTGCGCCGGTGAGCGGGCGGGCTCGGGGGCAGCGCCCCCGAAATATCAACGGGTTTGGGCTGGCCCGTATGATGCGAGATTAAGAGATTTCTTATAGGTTTAGGTTTTTGGCCCGTTTGAGGCACATATATATTTTGCTCGTTTTTCTAATCATTGTAACGAGTTGAGTGGCTGTAAACCGAAAATATAGTGAAATCTCTTTGCAGGACGTAGCCCTATTCGAGGGTGAACCTGGGTAAATTCGTGCATCGTCTATTTTATCTGATTTCTGCGTGATTGTTCTGTTTCGGTCCTCGATACATCCCTTCACAAATGAAAGGGGTTGCTTTTCCAAAAGACACAGTGAATGTTACATCAGGACAAACCACTTCCATTCCAGCTCTGTACCAACTTAGACTTCAACCCAAAACAGGCATCAAGTGGAATTCAAAGGCTGTAAATAACCCTATCAATTTTACGAATGATGCAAAGAGCGCATGATGGACGACTTTAAGGCGAATTCCGAGTGGACTGTCTGTTTTTTGTCAATAAACATCTCGTTCTTGCCAAGTAAACTTTAGCACCAAGATTGCACCGGTCCTTGACTTGTCGCCATCAGGTTCCTCGGTATAACTCGCGGCATTTGATCGTCAAAGGGTATACAGGGAGACAGACTTGAAAATCAGCAGTAGATAGTTAAGCTTGACTAAGTACAGTAATAGTGGATCTACACTGCCTGGAAGGGAAACATGCACAGAAATTCAACTTTGACATCCCCTCTTCTCAACAAGGTCAATTCCACAATACGCATTACAGTAATAGTGGATCTAGACTACATGGAAGGGAAACATGCACAGAAATTCGACTTTGACATCTCCTCTCCTCAACAAGGTCCATTCCACAATATGCATTAAGGACTCAGCCTACATTTGAAGAGAAAGGGAGAGACAGTTCCTACCTGTGCAGTAATGATGGCCATGACTCCAGTCACAACGAGGACAAGCTATGCCGCTATATACCACCCAGTTGCAACCCAGTGTTTTCCCAAATTAGAACAAGAAATGTTACTTGGTGATTCTCTTAAAAACCCTTTCACTTATGCTCCGTTCGTTTGGCGGAAAATATTCTTCTTTTAGAAAATATTTTCCTGGAAGTCATTTTCTTGAAAAATATTTTCCTGGAACACAATTTTCTGGTGTTCGCTAAAATCTGAAAAAGTTTCGGAAAATATTTTCTGGTGTTCGGCGACCACCGATCCGGCGGCGTCCGGCGACCGCGGTGATCGGCAACCGGCGGCGGCGGCGACGGGCGGCGATCGGCAACCGGCGGCGGTCGACGGCGGCGGGCGGCGCGACATGGGGTGGATCGACGCACGACCGCACGGCGGGTGGCCGACGACCGACGGCGGACCGGCGCGACCGACGGGACCGGCGACCGATTATCAGGCAATGCGCACAAGCGACCGGGCGGGCGGCCGGCGACAGCGGTAATTACGGCGGCGACCGACGGCTGGCGATCGGCGGCGACCGACGATTAACGGCCGGCGCATCGGCGCATGGCCGACGATCGACGGTGGATCGGCGATTGACGGTGACCGACAACCGGCGGCGGCGATCGGCGACGGCGACCGGCGGCCGGCCGACGATCGGCGGGCGGCGACCGCCGAACGCCGGGCGGCGACCGGCGGCGGCGACTGCCGAACGCCGGCGGGGCGGCGACCGGCGGCCGACGGCGGTGACCGGCGATCAACTTCCTCTCCCACAGAAAACATTTTCCCTCCCATGGGCAATTTTGCCTTCACTTTGGGGGAAAATGATTTCCTCGTGAAGAAAATCATTTTCCCCCAAAGTGAAGGCAAAATTGCCCATGGGAGGGAAAATGTTTTCCGTGGGAAGTTATTTTCCGCCCCTCGAACAATGGAAAATCCAGAAAATATTTCCTGGAAAACATTTTTCGCCAAATGAACGGAGCCTTAATTTGCTTTTTCGGAAGAGGTGGCAATTACCGACACAAAACAAGACACAACTTGAACACGACAGGAGTTTACTGAGAGAAAGATCCAACTTGAAATGATAGAACACAGCCCGACTTGCTCAAAATTAACATATCAACATGTTTTAATCCATTTTTCATGGAAAAAAAAATTCGTAATCATATTGTATGTTATTAATAACTGAAAAGACGTGAACAATCGACACGAATATGACATGAAAACACAAATCGTCAACCTTACTTTTGAGCTTGGAAGAAATACTATGATGGGTAGCATTTTCAGTTAGCTTTTAACTGATTAATTCCAAAGTCCATGTCTCAGTACAGTGTTCCCATTGTCGTTACCATACCATTACAATGTGAATGAGAGATTTATGTTTTTTTGTTTATAACTGAGTACATTAGCAGTTGAAATTGTTAAGATACCAATGAATGCATGATGTGAGGACAGAGGATCTTTAGCCAATTTCAAGTGGTCTGCACTTGTTTAAAATGTGATCTTTGGATATGTTAACTGTTGTACTTTTGGGCTTTGTCAAATTCTAAGTGGCCGAACTTCAGGTGTCTGAAATGTTGTGGGGTCAAACAAATATTCAGGGAGCTACATTACCGTCCATCCCTGGAGTTCAGTTCATGGACAATCCTACTCATTTTCTGTCTGAATGAAGAATTCACTCTGTTAGATTCTTCTAAATCCACATGCTTCCCACATGGGAATAAGAGCGGCAAGACCTAGTGAGAAATAGAATCTGCTTTCAGAAACAAACCTGACCCTTGAGACTTGCCGCCATCCGACATCAATAGTGTCTTGCGCCGTCTGGAATGTGGAAATGAAAACTCAACTCGTTTTTATAAGCCAATAGTGGAGGGCAAGCATCCAGCTCAGACTCAAGAGTCAGGAGAGGAAGAAGTGATTGTCAAGCTTCAAGTGAGTAGATTTTGCCTCTATTGCAGATGCTCCAATCACTGCATATACCTCTGCTTCCAGATTTGCTGGAGCCCATGTCTATACACATAGCACCCTGTTCAAAGAAATTCATTAACTCAATATCAAGTCTATCTGAAGGTTTTAACTTTGAGGATAGGATTTAGTATCTTGTTCACATCAACTATGCATCAAACAAGAGAACCTGCAGATATTGAGCCATCGTATATTTAGAATCTTTATAAGAGTCATTTGGAAGCAAATGAATCTTTTTTGACCTCTCAATGGCTTGATCAGTCTTGTCCAATTCCATTGTCCGTTTCCACAATCTATTAGCTGTTGATTAGTCATAGCTGCAAGAATTAACATAATTGTTCTCATATGGACTTATATGAAAATTTTCAATCCTTTCATTACCAAGGACGAAGGAAAATGAATTGCAGTTTTGGAACTTATTATGAGTTTTCAAATTAGCAGGTAAACTGAAGGACTAGGAATTTAGGGTAGCACAGATGTAACGATGCTTTTGAGTTTTGAGCCAAATAGTCTCATGAAAATGTCCAAGGTCAAAGGATTGCGCTATAGAAGTGCAAAACTAGTAAATTAAGGATGGTCAAACCAACTTTACTGGAGCTTCATTGCTTCGGTAGATTGAATGAAATTGGGCACATGGAAGTGGAACTTTCCTGACTAAAAGGGGTTATGACATGCGTATTATGGAAAAAATTGATCATCTGCTGTTCCTAGGACGACCTATCCAGGCCGTACTTGGGCAAACCAACATTTCTGGCACATTAGTCGCTGTGGTATAAAGAACGAAAACAGGAACAAGAAACTGAAATTTCACTAATCGAAAATGTGATATGATAAGGTTAGGCTGTCTGAGATTGTGTAGCATGGAAATAATTGATTAGTTACAATCAACGCGTTGGATGTTTGATGCTCCCCTAGAAGACCATATATTTAAAGCTTCAGGACCCCTTCCTCTAGGACCAGGACCTTCTCTTTTTTTTTTTTGCTTTTTTTCCCTTAGAGTCCTGATTCAGGACTTGTGATCATCAGTATAAAAACCTTAACTACTTGCTACCACCCAGATTACAAAAGTGAGAAACTTAGCATTCAAGTAGTTAGCAAAATATATTCTGGTGACTGTTGTGCTAACAAAGACTACTTATCATGGCAAAACACATTGAATGAGCTGGTCAAGAATTTTGTCCGAGACTCCAAGAAGGATCCTGCACGCTCAAAATGCCATCACAAACTTTACAGGTTGAATAACTAGCTGAAACAAAGCCAAAACAGCGTACAGAAAGAGCACAAGTTCACTTTGCATGTAATATTTGCCAAAGAAAACATTTCATTAACCACCACACAATGCTCTTTTAGAGGATAGATCATCAAGATGAGAGGTGAATGCACAATAACAGCAGACTTTCCTAAGCAAAAAAGCTGCACTAAACATTATCCGTCACATTGGACTGGTGCACTGCCCTCCAAATTGAAAGTGCAATTGGTTTTAAACCTTGCTATTTATAAATGCACCCATATTTGTCAAAAGGAACATGATGCGAAGGCTAAAATGAGGTAGCCAAAGGCGAAACTCTATTTGCAAGCATAAAGATTTTGCAGTATAGTAGAGCAAGAAAGTAGATGAGAAAGACACTAAGATGGTGAGGGGGTCGCCCTTGCTTGAATGGAGCTAGCAAGTCAGCAACCCATTATCTTCACCAAACCCTTCATTGTGCTGATCGTTTATCAATTTGTTGAGATTGCTTGGGTATCTGCATCAAAATAAGAATGGCGTGAGCAAGTTCAAGAAAAAGGATAGAAGAGCACATCACTTGTGATTTGTGAAGCAAGTACTACAAAATAAGATGCACTAATGCGATGCTGCCTGGAATCTATAAGATGCCTATTGCATAGTTATCATTAGCAACAGCTTGGCATTATTAGAAGGAAATACACGATGAGAGGAAAAACTTTAAACTAACAACATGCACAATGAAAGAGCAACACTCACATAGACTTGAAATATTTTTGTGAACAGAAACTTTTCCGTTGATAATACCTATTGCTTCTTTGGAGCAACGTAAGAATTGAGCTGTTCATCTGCAAACAAGGTGTAAAAATATTAGCAAATTGACTGTCATTAACTGAAACAGAGCGGCAGTAAGAAGCGATTTTGACATCAGAATTTAAGAGCTGAAAGCCAACCAATGACTGCTTTTCTTGTTCGGGCATCTTTTAGTGTCCGAATCATTTGCGTCATCCAACACCTTCACTTGCTTGTCGAACCCCTCGACAAGCCTGACCAGACAAGGCAGCATCTTATTTATGATGCAATAGGAATAAGAATTTAACGAAGTCATGAAGAATGTCCTATAGGAACTCGTAAGGCCTGCGACTAAAACTGCATTTGAGTCTGTTAGAATTGCACAACTTCCAATGAAGCACCAGCCGTTAAGCAAGTGTAGGGAAATCTTTCGCTGATAATTTAATTCCAAACACAAGAGTTGCAAGTATTGATCCTAGAGCACACGAACTCCTTCATACTAAAATAGTTCATTAACCATACTCAATTAGTCCAGACACCTGCAGCATTCAGGAAGCACGAATTTCCATAGTGAATGACAGCAACTCCTTTTCCTAATCAACATTACAGTAGTAACTTTACAGAGGAAGCATTTCCAGAGAACATCCAACACAAACCAGTATCGCCCCTTGATCAGCCTTTGTCTTCCATATACATTCATTTTTTCAACTTGACTGGTCGTGACTTAACAATATGATCAGCTCATGAGGAACAGAGCTGATTGCAATGGACCAGTGATTCTATCAATACAGGTGTCACATCTAAGGGTGAGTGGTTCCAGGTTGGAACCTACCCATGGGAATAGGATACTTATTTTTTAGAACCGGAACTTACCTTTTCACAGATTCCAAGATCGGTTCCAGGGTGTACCGATATTCCACCTGTATTATTAATCGAAAAATTGCAGTGAATTATCACTTTTAATGACCACCATTTTCTACTACGATCCACTGACCACAATTTATATTTAGACACACGAAAAATATGAAACGTTAACAAGTCATAAAATGAAAGCTTAGACTAGTGGTTTCGAATTATATACTCATCATCTAACGTCATGAAACATCGCAGGATGAGCGAAGACATAGACAAAAAAAAAACCCAAAAAATTTGTTTAAGGTTTAAGGTTTCAAGTTCCACCTACCTAGAATCTGTAACCTACCTGTTATATAATATCGGCGACGCGGCGGAAGTGGATCGTAACTTTCCAATTAAGTCGGGAGCCGTAGAAATTCGATAGAGAAATAAAACAAGGAACAATAAAAGGACACGAGAAATTTACGTCGTTCGATCTGAATGTCGGAACCTACGTTCACGGGGAGAACCGACAAATAATCCGCTAATAAATCGGAGAATTACAAAATTACAATTACTCACACACTCGAGTGTTTTCCAAGCTCTAGTATATATCAAATACCCACGGTGTTTAATAAACTCAACTCAATGGATTCTCTCTACGCACAAGTCCCTCCGAGCTCAGGCCTATGTTCTCTTGAGCTCTCGACGTCTCTGGACTTCTCTTCTTGCTTTCGATGAGAGCTCCTCTCCTAATATAGAAGAGCTTGTGGTCAATGAGAAAGAGTGGCCATCATTAAATGGCAGCACAGGCGCCCACGGTGGATGACAAAATGTAAGATAAGAGGACGTTCGGCGCCCGCAAGGCAAGCCTCCGGAGCAGCATGGGCACCCTTCAATGTCTACGGGTCATGTGCATGCATTAACTGAGGAAGAAAAATGGAGACGTTCTTGCACACGGCCCTTCCTTCCTCTTTCTTCATTTATTAGCAAAAGACGAAAGAAGGGAAAAGAAGAAAGCATGGAGCAAAAGTCAAGAAGATGAAGGCGTCGTTTCTCATTAAATGCTTCACCGGACGTGATTCCTCAAATGTTGCGAGTGATGATCGACAGACATTTTACGCGAATTCAAACTCGAGATATAATTTAATATTATCCATCGAAATAGATTTTTTAATTTTAAAATTTTAAATTTTTTTTTCTTGAAATTATGCTCACCCCTAGTCACTTCGGCCACTTAAATGGGCTTGAGACGAACTGGCGAAGTACATATCCGTGTGAACCCGCGGGCTCACCTTAAAGTAAAGAGGGTGTCCTACTCCCAGGAGATATTCAACATACACTATTCAAATGTCTTCAATTATTAATCCACAAATACTGTATCCATGAACAAATGCATAAATTCATGGTTCCATCCTGTTTCTCAAGTGTTTCGAAATTAAAATTTGAATCTTTTGTATCTTATAGAAACCGTTTTTAGGAAAAGTTTGAATCTAGAAATGTCTTTCTCTTTTCATATGTATATATACAATTTCTTGGTATTGTGTACTTTTATCAACAATTTCCACCAATTACCTAAAGTTCTAATTTTTTTGTAGTAAAATGATTTTCTTAGTCCTCAAAACTGTCAATTCGTCTCTTTCATTGGTTGGGAAAAGAGGAAAGGAGAATTGATGCACGATGTCCATAAATGGAACAAATTCTCTTTTCATTGAGTGGTGGGGAAAGAGGAAAACAAAATTGATGTCCAAGAAGCGCAAAGCCTCTCTGTCTTGAACATAAAAGCGAGGACCTGACATGTTGATTGCCATTCCTCGTGCATGCATGAGCTTGAACATTTTTTAGCTCTCCACACGGAACGTGAACCCGATATATATTAAAACGAATTGCTAAGAAATATCCTGAAGATACTTGTTAAGTACACCCTCTATAGAAATAATTCAATTTTCGTGATATTGATCACGCATCATGTGATGACAATTAATGCAATGAAAACTACAAGATTTTCTTAATTGGGTGCTTAACAAATGCATCGGGATTATAAACACGCATCACCAGTCAATCTGTATACTAAGAATAACCCTGTTTTGGAGCACGTGTAGATGGGAACCAAGAACCCAGAATAAGCAAATGGTCACTCTCACACCTACAAAAGCACACATTCCATCGTGTTCAAGGCAGTGTAATGTTTGACCAAAAAAGAAAAAAGCATAGTTTAAGATGACCCATCCGGTGAACGAGAATCATTAGAACTAAAGAGACTCCCATCTAACTCTGGCCAAATGCGTGCGCGTTGAGAGAGAAAGAGAGAGAGCAGATGCACAGTTTTCTGATGGCAACGATGAATCACTGCACGTGACATTCTCCCTCCATCTACCCTGCAGCGGGCAGTCTGCGTAGCACCATCCACCTATCTGAGTGGTTACTACTTTAGGGTACAAAACACACTCAAAATCATCATAAACAACCTTGGTTGCGCATGAAACATGGAGGGTCCTCCTCCTCCTCTTCCTCCTCCTCCTCCTGTTCATCAGATGAAGATGTGAAGTCCAGCTGTTTCATGTATACAGAGATATGAGCTATCGACCGGCATTAGCAGATCTTCATGATTCCTTTCCCTCCGCAACAAAAGGTTTTCCTTGTACTCGGTCATTTCTGTGCAGATTCTCCCGTTGTTCAACTCTGTTCAAAAATGAAAAAAAAGAAAATTTTCATTTCATAGACCAGCATTTAAAAAGTATTTGATTTAGATGGATTCTTTTTAGAATCTTGAATTCGGGAATTAGGCCCTATGCAAGCCTATCCACGCTATAAGATTTTTTCGATTTTGCAGCGGTATAGAAGAGTAAAGAGACGTAAAGTATATTAAAACGAAGTAACTTAATCATCCGATGAGCGTGAAGCGAATGATCGAAGTAGCTAGACAGTGTAAAAGTATCATTGGGAAAACATGTGAGCACAAATCTCAACAAACAAGATGCGAATCTTGGTGGACCCCATGTGATGGTCGTGTAAATGCCATTGACCTGTCGATACCGATTGCTCAAATATATTTTGAAACATCGAATGAGACATTCCTTTCACCAAAGAGTCGAAAAAGCCTGGAAATCTATCGTGAGCTATAGTGTACGTGCAAATGGGCAAATGGTATCGATCAGTGAGTTTAGATAATGTTTTCCTTAGGAGCTAATTAAGATAGGCTAATTTCAGTCAACCAAACATCGTAATCGATGCTATGAATTTTTTTTTTTTTGGGCCAATTAGAGGTAAGGAGTGATACTTAAATATTTTTTTTTTTTGGGACAAATTAACATCGGTGAACTCGAAAGTCAAGCCCTTGACTGTTTTTTTCCTGTTTTTGTTTGGGTCAGAAACAACTCATTGGTACTGCTTACCTATAGCAAGGGGGATAGACCACAGGATTCCTATTTATAGCAATTGGTCCGAAGACGGTAATTTCTCGGCAAATTCCTAAAGCTTCCTTATCCTCCACGACCGACGCGGACGCTCGCGTTCAGTTTCACCCGCGACGGCCCCCCTCGGCTTCCCGACACGACGTCGTTCCCCCGCGCGCCCCCCAACCCCGCCCCCCCCCACCCGCGGCAGGGGCAGTCTCGCCATTTCCCTCGCCCGGAAAGGAAGTCGGAGGGACACTTTTCCTCTTAAAACTTGACCAGTCAAGGTACGACACAGAGACGCGACAGCGTCCCACGCCGTTTCCTCTGCCGAACTGTGACTCTCTTCTCTTGCATGCACTGTTCGTTCGCGCTCTTTTCCCCCTCCTCCTCCTCTCTTTCCCCCCCTTCGCGGACTCGCCGCCGGCGGCTCCCCGGCGACGGCTCTCCGTCCGGCGCCTCCCCCCCCCCCGCGCTCTTTCCCGGAGGAGCTCTTCCCGCGCGCGCGCGCGCGACCGAGGCATTGAATTTCTCCTCTCTCTTCTTTCTCTCTTCCCTTCTTTCCCTTGGTTGCCTTTTTTCTTGAGAATTGTCGGTCTAGATGATAATGCGGTTGCGCGCTTCTTGACTTTCTTGTGCTGAGAGACTGATGGTTCGTCGTGTCGCTTCGTAGATGAGGTATAACGTGCCGGTCGCGAAGAGGACGCGGGCTCAAACCCGTTCGGGCCGTCGTGATCGGCATCGGAGGGAGGGAATCATCGCGGAAGGAGTTGATGGGGATGTGGAATTTCTAGGGGAGGCGGATTTGACGTCGGAGAAGGGGCGGAATTGGAGTAAGGGTTTGGTGGAGGCGGAGGATGTGATATCGATTGTCTCGGTTGATTCTGCTGATTTGGGCAGTGGCGACGGGGTGCCTGCGGTTGCGGAGAGCGGGTTTCTTGATTCCGCGCAGTCGAGCTGTTGCGGCGCGAAATTAGGTGGGCGGCGCGAGGATTCTTCTCGTGCTGATGGCGACGGAGGGGATGTTTCTAGTGAAAAGCCAGTCGAGGATCGCACTGTGTTGAATTCTGATTCTACTTTGTGTAGGAAGCAAGAGGGTGCTCTTAGGAATAGTGGGGCCGCTGTCTTTGTGCAGGACGGAAGCATCGGCGAAAGCAGTGGCTCCAAATGTGACAGTGGAAAGAAGGAAAATTTGACCTCCTCCCCTGGTGGAGAAATGGTAGAAACGGGTGCCTTGAAGGTTGATGAGGAACAGAGCTATGTCGAAATTATTGAGGTGTCAGATGAGATGGAGACATCCTCTAATGAGGATGAGATGGAGACGTCCTCTAGTGAGGATGAGATGTCGTCCAGTGAAGATGACAACACAGATTATGAGGATGAGGATTACGTGGGCGAGACGGCGAGTTCTGTTAGCACGGATAACTCAAGTTCTTCTAGTGAGGAGGAAGTAGGAGATGGGAAAGATGCAAGCAAATGTGAGATTACAGGAGAAGAAAGTGCTTTTGATGGACCTCAAGAAGGGAAACCTGTGCCCGATTTGAAGAACAGGAAAGCAAGCCAATGTGAGATTACAGAAGGAGAAAGTGCTTCTGACAGATCTCGAGAAGGGACACCCGTGCCCGATTTGAAGAAGAGGAAAGGATTGGGTGTGAAAATACTGACCGGTTCTCTTAGAGATGAAGATGATGACAAAGAAAGTGCTGTTAATGTCGGTGAAGAGCGCAATTGTGTGGCACTACGAACTCGATCACGTTTTGGTAGGCAAGGGAGAGATATGATAAACGTTGGCACTTTCAGCCATCCATTCTGTCTTGATGATGATGATGATGACCTTGGCTTATCTCAAAAGTACTGTGTCAAAGATGAAATTCTCATTAATCAGGACAGCCATCGTGTAAGAGATAAAACTTATTTTGCTGCAGTGTCAAACTATAGAAAAGATAGATCAAAGTCGGGTATAGATCAATCTATGGATGATAAAGACGACGATGTCTCCGATGATGAAAAGCGCAACCCAGAAAACTTTTCATCCAAATCCATTAAGAGAAAAGCTGGTTCAAACATCAATAATGGCGCCGAATGTCCGCAAAAGGAATGTGGGAAAGGTGAAGATTTTCCATTCCTATCCAAGAGAAAGCGCGTTCGTTCTCCCCAAGATTATGATGTCATCAAAATTCTGGTGGATTCCATTTGGGATAAGGGGGAGATAACCCCCCAGGAAGCAGATGCTTTTAGAGACGCAACTCGTGAAGGAGAAACCAATAGGCAAAGCAGTGAATGGATTCTTCCATTGAAATTTACTTTTGGAGAAGAGGAACCAAAGCAGCTGGAGAAATCAGAAAACGATAAGGAACTGGACAAGCTGTGGGATGAGCTTGACTTTTGTCTCCGGACTTGTGAGATCGACTCTTTTGATGCTGATCTGGTAGGTGGAGACCGAAACATCTCTCTTCCTTTTAAATTAAGGATGCTGTAACTTATATTGTTGTTGTCATCTTAAGACCATTTTGCTTGGTTTAGAGTTAGTTCAATTCTTATTTTTTTCTCACATTATAATGGAGCCATGTTATGAATTAGTTTGTCATTATTACTTTAAACTTTGGTGTAATTTCACATGGAGATGATGTTAGTTTTCCTTCTGAGCTGGGATGTTGTTAGATTTCAGCATTCAGTTGAAATATGCTATATCCCTAGCAATTATCATAATGGTTGTCATGCCCTAAATAAACACATGCAATTCTCAATGAAACTTAGGCTTGTGTTTGCATGCCCGGATGACTAAGCAGCCTTTAGTGCATACTTCCTTCTAGCTCTGATAGCCAGGACCTCCAATGTTCTTTTGACACATATGTGAAAGACATCATTTCAGGTTGGAATATATTTGATTCATCGCATCGGTAGTTGCTAATTTTCTGTGCTCTGGGTTGCCTTAATTTTTGCATGATTTAGTGAAACATCATGTCTGTTTGCACAAAACTGGTGTTTAATACATCTGTATTGCTCTCTCCATATGTGATTACAAGAAGCAATTCTCTTGTGCATGTGCTAAAAGTCCAACATAAGTCAGCGGTATCAGAATGATAGTATTCTGGCCTGGTTGTTTGATATACCTCAGCATCTAGAAATCTGCATTTAATTTGTAATATGTCAATTTCTTAGTTTACATATACTGTCACGTGAGCTTTTTTGATGCCATAAGTTTGACTGAAATGTTAAAGTAGCTCATCTTTGCTCCCAGGTTGAAAGCGAAGATGTCGACCCTCAGCCTCACTTTGATGGAGTGAGCCTTTGTAGTCAGGGGAATCATGAGTTTATTCTCGATGAAGAAATTGGAATCAGATGCAAACATTGCTTCTTCCTGCGGCTGGAGATCAAATATGTTGTACCACCATTAGTAAGCCCTGAAATCCTTTTCTGCTTAAGTCCTGGTTGTTTTGATTCCTCTGTTTTGGCTACCCTGCGTGTTGGCTCAAGAGAGCATTATCTTTCGATCTGCAATCCTGTTCCACTTAAATCGACATAGATTTTGAAGTTTGGACTCATGTTCTGTGGATTTGGAGAGAATTTTATATTTCCATTAGATTGCGCTGTCCGTAAATTTCACTCTTAAAGAATTTAGCAAAGGTTGGATCAAATGAATCCAGTTGAGATGATCTAGCTGAAAGTTTAAGGAAAGATACTTTTGCGACTTCCTTTCTTCATATTTTCTTGGGTTCGCTCGTTAATTAATTAACCGATGATTAAAGAAAATTAATTTAATTTCACTTTCTCTTCATCTGCTTTATAATTTTGAAACTTTATCAGGCTTATTGACTTCTACCTTTACGCCTACACTTTTCAGAGTACTGATCCTTCGGAAAAGTCGGGGCAAAGAGTCTTGGGTAGATATTACCATGAGGACTATTTGCTTGAAAAACTTCGCTCTCAAGACTCCGGTTGCGATCTCCAAGCTGGCCTTCCGTCGGCCAATGTGCGTGGTACGGTTTGGGACTTAATTCCTGGTGTGAGAAGTGACTTGTATCCACACCAATGTGAAGGCTTTGAGTTCATTTGGAAGAATATAGCGGGAGGAATTCAGCTTGATGAGCTGAGAAGGCAAACAACTGTTGGCTGTGATGGTGGATGTATCATATCACATGCTCCTGGAACTGGAAAATCTCGGCTGACTATTGTTTTTCTTCAAACGTATATGGAACTGTTTCCAAGTTGCAGGCCCGTGATCATTGCTCCTCGGAGCATGCTCCTCACGTGGGAAGAAGAGTTTCAAAAGTGGAACAAGGATATACCATTTCATAATCTCAACAATCCCGAGCTTTCTGGGAAGGAAAGTAAGTCAGCTTTGAGTCTTCTAAGGCAATTTAAACATGGGGACCAGAGCCAAAAATATGTTCGTATGGTGAAGCTGTATTCATGGACGAAAGAAAGCAGCATTTTGGGAATAAGTTACACACTCTTCAAGTCCCTTACGGGGCAAAATAGGAGAGACAGTACACCTCGACATAAAACTGAAGATGAGCAGAGGAAAATACTTCTAGCGCTTCCTGGTCTTTTAGTTCTTGATGAAGGACATACTCCTCGCAATGACCGGAGCCTTATCTGGAAGGCTTTGTGTAAAGTGGAAACGCAAAGACGCATCATTCTGTCTGGAACTCCTTTCCAGAATAATTTTGACGAGCTCTTTAATACACTTTGCTTGGTGAGGCCAAAATTTGCCGAAAGAATTTCATTGGGACGCTATGTTAATTTCCCTAGAAAGCGTGGACGCAAAAGAAGCAAGGTGAGAGGGGAATGGGATGTGATGGCCCAATCCATAGTAAAAAATGACAATGACGGACTAGAAAAGCTCAAAACTATGATCGACCCATTCGTGCATGTACACAAAGGTACCATACTTAAAGAAAGACTTCCTGGTTTGCAGGACTCTGTGATTGTTCTACGGCCAGGAAAATTACAGAAGAGCCTCCTTGATAACGTGCAAAGCTTGAAGAGCCCGTTATTGTTGAGTCACCTTGTCTCCTTAATATCCGTTCATCCATCTCTCTTCTCTCGGTGCTCTGTACCTGAGAGTGAAGGGCTAGCAGTTGACAGAAGTAACTTAGAAAGCCTTAGAAAGAAACCAGAAGCTGGGGTCAAAACCAGATTTCTAATGGAACTCATCCGTCTTTGTGAGGCAATGCATGAAAAGGTCCTGGTTTTTAGCCAATTCATTGATCCCTTGAGCTTTATAAGGGATCTGCTCAAGTCCAATTTTCGTTGGACAGATGGTGAGGAACTGTTGTACATGGATGGACAGGCTGACATCAAGCAGCGCCAATCCTCCATTAATGCCTTCAACGACCCAACGAGTGAAGTGAGGGTGTTGCTTGCTTCTACAAAAGCATGTTCCGAAGGGATTAATCTGGTGGGCGCTTCGAGGGTCGTGTTACTGGATGTTGTGTGGAATCCGTCAGTTGAGAGGCAGGCCATAAGCCGTGCCTACAGACTTGGACAGCAGAACAAGGTCTATATATATCATCTGATTACTTCCGGGACAATGGAGGCTGAGAAATACTGTCGACAAGTGGAGAAAGACAGATTGTCCGAGTTAGTGTTCGCTTCATCGGACAGGACTGGCAATCCTAGGCAAAAAGTCACGTCGACGGGACCGGATGATAAAATTCTGGAAGAGCTGATACATCATCCTAACCTCACCGATATGTTTGAAAGGATAATTCACCAGCCCAAGGAGTCTAACTTGATCGAGACATTTAATTTGGTGGACAATTCTCAGACATCTGTTTAGGATGTCTTTGTACAGATTCTGCCAGTTTAAGGGGAAGGAAAAAAGCTACAAACTGTGGTCTTTTGTACTTATAGCTTACAGAGTTCTCTTCTGTTTTGGGTTGGGGTTCCAAAGACATTTTGGTGGACCATTCACGGACATCTGTTTAGGATGTCTTTGTACAGATCCTGCGACTTTAGGTGAAGGAGAAAAGCTACAGACTATGGTCTTTTACTTTTAACTTATAGTTCTCTTCTGTATTGGGTTGGGGTTCCATAGATATTATGGTTGTGAGGTCCCTGACTATTCTTTTGTAGATATACAGATGTTTAGATGAGACCACCAATGTGGCTTGGCATGCCATGTGGCTCCTTTTGAGAAATTTCATTTCTGCTGTCCATCTTATTAAATGTCTGCGATGCCTATTGTGTTTGCCTGGAATTACGACCAAATAGAAGTTGTCGACAAGGTGCAAAAAACCTTGCTAAATTGCTATCATTCCGGTCGAATTCAATTCAGAAAGTGACCCTGAATCTTAAATCCTAAATTTTACTCCAACCACGAGTTTTCACAGATTCATTGTGCTTCTTGAAATTGGAAGAATTGTCGCTCTCTCGACCCATGATGGATATTTGCCAACGGGACAAATTGAGTAATAAAGTTTGTGATTGCTAATTCTTCGTTTCGAACTTCGACAACTCGCTTTCGAGTGTTTGAATTTCTAACCAAATCGTTAACGATTCTGTCCTGCCATTGAACTTCAGCAATGCTGAACCTTTTTGCCCATTGTGTCGAAAAAAGCCCGAGACAGTCGAGCATCTATTCCTTCTCTGCGACAAGACAAAGCAGGTTTGGTCAAATCCCTATTTCAACATCCACTTTTCTCACCAACAGGTCACTAGATTTGAGGAGTGGTTGCAAAACTACAATGATATGACCCAGAAAAACATACCTTTCGAGATCATCGCAGTCACCCTCTGGAAAATCTGGTTAGCGCGTAATACCCTAGTATTCCATCATGAGCAGACAGACCCAATTAACATAATTGAATCGGCTCTAGACATGCATTGTAATTACGCGAAGTGGAATAGAAGCAACTTAAAGCGTGAAGCAGTACCGCTGAACTTAAAACCGAGATGGAGACCACTAGCCCCTGGTTTGCTGAAGATAAACATCGATGGATCTCACCTCTCAGGGACCATGGAAGGGGCAATTGCATGGGTATGTCGCGATTCAGAAGGAAGATTGATGGAAGGCCTTGCGCGACCAGTCCGAGCATCTTCCGCCCTTCAAACCGAAGCCCTTGCCTGTCTCTATGCCCTCAAACACTTTGCTGATTTGCCTCATTTAAAACTAATGCTGGAGTCTGACTGTTCAACGTTGATAAGCTGTTTGAGATATTCTTCCTTCTGTCCTTGGGATGTTGAGCCAATTATCACTGATTGTATTGGCCTCTTGGCTTTTTTTGAGAGTTTAGAATTGGTCATTTTACTCTTGTAGGTGGGCCTGGGTTTAATGAAATGATATCTCTATTTCAACCAAAAAAAAAAAAAAGAACTTCAGCAATGCACATGAGAGTAAGGACGTGGCGACCCGATCTCCCCGCCCGAATAGCGATCAATTTGGGCTTGATTGAGACAGAATTTCTAGAGTGGGAAAATGACACAAACAGTCCTTGAACTTTGGCTCAATGTACAATTTAGCCCCTGAACTTTCAATTTGTTCAATATAGTCCCCGAACTTTAACCTAATATTCAATGTGATCCATGAACTTTTAATTTGTTCAATGTGGTCCCTGGACTTTTGGTACATGTTCAATTTAGTCCTTGAACTATATGAAAATGTATAATATAGTCCCTGAACTTGAATTAATAATAGAAGGACTATATTGAACATTTTTATATAGTTCAAGTATTAAATTGAACATGTACCAAAAGTCCAGGGACCATATTGAACAAATTAAAAGTTCAGGGACCACATTGAACATTAGGCTAAAGTTCAGGAACTACATTGAACAAATTGAAAGTTCACGAACCAAATTGCACATTGAGCCAAAATTCAGGGACTATTTGTGTCATTATCCCTTCTAGAGTTGATGCACAGAAAAAGTAAGAACCCGGGGGTCGATTGAGACCGGGCCAAAACTTCAGGGGCCAAATTCGAAATATCCCAATTTACGTCGTTGGTAATAAAAAGTTCGCGACTGCATCTAAGTATATAAGCGAAACAGAGCGGTTTTGGCCAAACCCTAACAGTCTGCTCTGCTCTGCTCCGATTGCCGCCGCCGCCGCCGCCGCCGCCGCTCGTTTGCTGCTCTCTCTCGCACGCCAGCCATGGTTCTTCCCCTCTCTCTCTCTCTCTCTCTGTCTGATTCGATAGAGACGAAGTGCAACTTCATGTTTGTGTTCTAGCGCGTCTCCTTCTAGTGCAATGATGATTTTCTGTAAGCGTGTGCTGCGATTTTAGAGGAATGACATGGATGTATAAGCTCGAACATCAACCACACTGGGTTGTGTGCGTGCGCGTGCGGGTGCGCGACGGGTCTCTTTTGGTTTTGGAGAAACTCAAATGCATTTCGCACCGTTTGCTTTTGTTCGCAGACCAAAAGAACGAAGAAGGCAGGCATTGTCGGCAAGTATGGTAAGGATCGTGACCATCTTATCAGGCAATTCCTAGGTGCAAACAGCTTATTGTCCAATGAATATATGGCATCGACCGTGCCTCGTGAATTATGGGCATTGTTGTCTGAAAGGAAGACATTGTGTAGAGGCCTATTAGCACTGCTTTCTTTCTGATTTAACCATGTCGTGTATTAGGCAATCTGGCAATCTTTATGTGGCATATTTGTGAGGATGATTAGATTTGTGGCCTCAAGATTAGGGATAGGACTTGGGTGTAGTGGAAATTAATTTGATGGTCCAATGCCGAAGTCATTTGCTTTACGGGAACGTTGCTGAATGGATCGAATTGCTCCGGACTGCAGGCACCCGTTATGGGGCGAGTCTGCGTAAGCAGATTAAGAAGATGGAGGTCAGCCAACATAGCAAATATTTCTGCGAGTTTTGCGGGAAGGTAAATCTTTTGCTGCTCTTTCGTATTATCGCTTCTTCGTTATGCTTCTAACTTGGGCCTTCGCAGTATGCTGTCAAGAGGAAGGCTGTAGGAATCTGGGGATGCAAGGACTGTGGTAAAATCAAGGCAGGCGGAGCTTACACCTTGAAGTAAGATATCTTCTTTTGATACCTTTTCTTTTGTGCTGCGCGTGCTCCATGTTAGGACGGATGACCGAATAACTCTTTTCTCATCCTTTCTTTTTTCTATGCTACAGCACTGCTAGTGCCGTGACGGTAAGGAGTACAATACGGAGGCTGAGGGAGCAAACTGAAAGTTGAATGGGCCATTCACCACTTCAAACCATTCTTGTTAGCAGCTTATAGCTTAGATAACAAACAGTATTTTCTTTGAAAGCATCCTCTACTTCGGTTGTTGTTTCGCTTTCGTTCCCCCTTTTTAATTGAAGAGCATGTGCCAGGATCATAACTAGATAGAGCAATTGTTCTATCTCCTGTCATTTGTCTAATCGGCGTAATGTCGGCATTTTTGGAGTCTATTATTGAGACAGATCGAACTTGTTGTCAATCTAAAAATTCTATTGGAAACTTTCGATTTCTTCATTTATGTTGGGTCCTGTTGATAGACTGTATTCCGTGATGCAGGCCATGCAGATTCCAATTTGCTCCCAGTATATATTATCTTCCAACTGTCTTGCTAATTTTTCATGAATTGGCCTTAGGCAGATGCTATGTCCGTGTATCGGAATTTATTTAGGAACTAATATGGCAACTTTTTACGCGTGCAAATGAAGTCGCCCACTTTGTCTGAGGTCACGTGTATTGCAAACATCATTTAGCGGAACTCATAAGCGACGCTTTCATTGACTCTTGCACTCTTGACAAAACGGTCCGACAAAGTACCACTACATGGCCTAATCACTGCCTAACGTGGCATCTCGTGTCAAAACATTAATGATGGATTAAGCCCTCGTGAGTCCTTCTGTCAATACTTTCTCTTCAACGTGAGCACAAGCAATGTCTTTTTATAGGTGTTGCACAGTAATTATTAGAATTCCGAACCCCATTCAAAAGAGGGCACTAAGCATTTGAGACCGCAACTTTTGCTGATAAATCTAGGTCGAACAGTGTGGTGGTGTGCAATTAAATTTGTTTCCAGATTTCTCTAACATCGTCTGTATATCACCAATACCTAAATTTTTTCCTTCTAATTCACTACACAATTTTTACCGAGAAAAAGGCTTTAATATTAAAGTAATTTCAGTGCGACCATCCATTGTAGGCAACACCCTGAGGTAAGGAACAATAGAGATCCTGGCGACCAAAAATAAACAGATAATCTACTTGGCAATACACGAATCATTACCACTATTCCCATCCAACTCTGGTCAGATGAGAGGAGAGCGTGAGAGAGAGTCCCTTCCAGCATACACAAAATGCCAGATTCATCACCAAAATGCCAATAACATCATCTCCACAAAATGGAGAGAACGAAACTAAACCCAAGGATGGGTACTTGCTACACCCGGCCAACAGAAAGAGCAGATGCATAGTTTAAGATGGCAATGATGAATCACTGCACATGACATTCTCAATCTTCAGCGAAATACTTCTCCTCGGCATCGTCGTCGGCCTCCCTAAGCCAATGATCATCCAGGCTCACATCCTCATCTATTTTGGAGTAATCCAAGTGCTGATGATCTTCCCCTGACAAAAACTTCTGCTGCATAATGTAAGTGAACTGATCCATCTGGTCTTGAATTTCCATAGCGGATAAAGTTTCGCCCTCCATCTGCCCTGCAGCGGCAGTCTGCAGAGCACCATCCAACAATGCAAGTGGTTACTATTTAAGGGGACAAAATAAACTCAAAAACATCATAAACGACCTTTGTAGTGCATGAAACAGGAGGGTCTTCACGACAGTTTCTAATTTGTTTTATGAAATTATCTATCTTCATGAAAATATCTAATCCGTCCGTGCCACCAGTTTCAGTTCTTCAAATTAATTAAAATTGATGAAAATACTGCTTCAGGTCTTACACTGAGGGTTAGTATTGTATTGAAAAAGGACAAACAATAAGGAAACTATTAAGTCGTTAGGAGGAGTTTTAAGGGCCCAAGAGGATTACAATTTTCACAAATTACCTCTGCATGATTTGAAGGGGCGGCAGATCCATTGGCTTGCATGTTGTGTTCTCCTTTTGCTGGCTCCAAATCCTCCTCCTCCAGCTCCTCCTCCTCCTCCTCCTCCTCCTCCTCCTCTTCTTCCTCCTCTTCTTCCTCTTCCACTTGTTTTCTATCATTACCAACCCAGTCCCTCTCAGCAACACCTAACCTTTGCTGCTCCCTCCGTATCTCTGCAACCAAAAAAGCTTCTTCTGTCCTCCTCATCAATGTCTCGGACCACCTCTCCCCTGGCCTGGCCATACTCCTCCCACTAGGATCCTGGAACTTCCCCACATACTCATGGTGCAAATATGGCTCTCTCTCCCTCATAGCATCCTCCGAAAAGTATTGCCCGTCAGATATTAGCTTATTAAGGTAAGCTCTCCTGCGATTTTTAACGGTGATTGATCTCGACCGTAACTCATCCGAAGTTGGACTCATGATGGTCCTCAGGTGATTTAGATGCCAGTTTATTTCGTAGTCATCCTTGAGTGCATCAAATTCTCGAAGCTCATCGCTCGTCAATTGAGTTCCATAACGTTCTGTATATCAACAAAAGAAGGAATGACGGTTATTTATATCACTAAATCTCTCATATACCATCTAGCTCTAGAAAGGCCTATAATGTAGGACTTTGACAGCCTAGGTTTGGACCTTTCATGCTAGAACAAACACAGTCATACAAAAGCTATAAAAACATTACATTGTGTCTGACACTCATCGTATGGAGGATCTCAAAAAAAGAGAAATCAGTGTCATCAGAAACAAGCTTATAGAGAATTATATCGAATCCAACTGTTCATTGTTTCGAGAACACTCAAAATAAAAGCAATCAACTCACAAAGAAAGGATGGAAATTCTAATTGAGGATGGTAGATCCAACAATTAATCAGTACAATGACCATGGAGGATGGGCGCATCGATGGACAGAAAAGAGCACGAACACAATGAAAGACGAGTTAAGGCCACTGTATCAAGTCCCACAACCCGAAGAAACAGGACTAACACCACAGAAGGATGATGATGAGATCACCACTCGTTCGTCCCAAGACAACAAATTTAAGCATCCACAAAATCGAGCGACCATAATATTTCGCAATTCCGCCAAAACTACATCGCAAGCGCTCAATTATAACATCCAGCTTGTTCTTCTTGAGATGGTGTCATAAATTTAAAAGCATCCAACTAAAGCCGCCCCCAGATTTTTCCTTCCATTTTCACACAGACTTCAGCACACAAACGCCGGCTTAACATCTCCGGAACTAATTCGCCACAATCAGTCGCTAGCAGCAGGGACACTCTCAATTCTCCGCTCACAATCGCATACATATCCAAACACATCATCTCTCCTTCACCTTCCTAATCGAACTGATTCCGCCGGAACAAGAACATACAATCAGACCTTAAAAAGAACAGATTGGCGCGATCGCTTGCGCACACAGAGACAGAGCGAGAGCGAGAGCGAGAGAGAGAGAGAGAGAGAGACCTAAGAAGACGGCGGTGTCGCGGGCGAGGAGGTCGAGGAAGATGGACTTGCGCTGGGACGAATCGGAGGTGCGAGGCTGGACGGCCCGAGGGAAGTAGAGGTTCTCGAGGGACGACAACCTCTCCGCGATCCTCTCCTTCGCTTCGCCATCGATCTCCCCGCCGCTTCTGCTCGTGCTCGTCTCCGCCATCGTCGTCTCTCCCTCTCTCTCTCTCGTCGCCGGCGTCTGCGCGGAGTGGTGTGCAGAAAATGTTCTTCGGTGCTTCGGAAGTCGGTGTCTTTCAAACCTTCGGAAGCTTAGTGCGGTCACGTTGATACGCGAGCGACGTCGTTTTGAATTCTTTTGCCTTTTTTTTTTTTGGACAGAGGGAACGATTAATCCTAGGGAAAATTCCAAAAAACGAGGTCCGAAATGGAATCATTTTCTCAAAAAGCTTAAAGTGGATATTATCTCAAATAAGGCCTTGAAGTGGCCATATCATTTTCAAATAAGGACCTGATCTCACCGGCCAAAGGGTATTTTCGTCTTTTACTTTCTTTTTTTTTTGCCTTTTTTTGTTTTTTTCTTTTCCTTTTCCATTTTTTTTTCCTCTCTTCCCTCCGCCAGCCATCACCAGGGCCGGCGGAGGTCGCCAGCCTCAGGCGGAGGCCACCCTCGCCTGGGTCGCCCTCCTCGGCATCGGGCGAGGGCTCGACGCGACTTGGGCAGCCCTCATCCGACGCCGGCGGAGGTCGCCGGCTAGGCGCAATGACTGCTGGGAAGGGAAGAAGAGAAAAGGAAAAAGAAAAAAGAAAAGGAAAAGAAAAAGAATGTAAAAAAAATCAAAAAAATATACTTACATTTTTTTTTTACTAAAATACCCCTTCTACGACGACAGAATAGTCACCGGCCAACCAAAAGTCCTTATTTGAGTTGATTTGGCCACTTTGGGCCATTATTTGAGATGATTTGGTCACTTCATACCTTTATTTGAGATAATACCCACTTCGGGCCCTTTTTTAGGAAAATGACTCCACTTCGAACCTCTATTTGGAATTTTTCCTTAATCCTATAATATTTTATCGGCGATTAAGATATGAGAGATTTTTAATCTTTTCAAATTGTTCAATCATGTATCTCAGCTTTTATTTTATTTTATTTTATGTGATTGAATCTCTGAACTTTTTATTTTTATTTTTTCAAATGAGTCATTCCATCAATATCCAAATTCACTCCATCTTACTAAAATACTTGGGAACTCATGAAAATGAGAGCCACTCAAAATCTTACCTTCCTAGCTATGGCCAAGCCACGCCACGATTCTCCTGCTTTGATGAGAATCGGATCCGAGACACAGCTTGATGTATTATAATTCCTAGAAACGAAAATGCTGACGCGAACTAACAAGTTAACTGAGTACACAGACTAATGCTTACATGTAATTTATTTTTTGCTGATCGGATAAAGAGAGAGAGAGAGAGAAGGAGGAGCTGCTAGGGGCGGGGCAGCGAAGGCGCCACCCACGCGCCAGCGAGGGCCGCCGAGCCCTTATCAGCTATTATCGGGATAGGGCGATGCCTAGCCATGGTCACGTGACCTCAGCCAAATTCATACCTGGCTTTGGACCACCAGGCAACACGTAGGGTCGTGTGACCCTAACTGCCGACGATCGCCAGGATTGCACGATCCTCGATTAGCAGCCGCCGAGGTCGCGTGCCAGCAGGGCCGCCTCTCTCCCAATCTGTGTTACTTTTTTCTTCATATTCCCTTTTCTTGTTAATTCTTTTAAAGTTTATTTTGTTCCTTAATACATCTTATTTTGAAAGTCGTTAAAATTCTTTTACCGACGTCTCAACAATCACGTCAACATTTCCATCCATAATTTTGACAGAAGAACCAACTTAGACAAATGAAAAAACCAAAATAAAACAGTTCAAAAACCATAATTCAACAATTTGAAAAGTTGAGAAATCTCTAATGCCTTTTTCTCTATTTGATTATCATCTCATGTGAAGTGTAGGGGTTCTCAAAGACTTGTTTGTCATTTGAATAGGCTCGACTTCTCATCACTGTTACTGCCTCGCGATTCTCACTCGATACGGGGACAGAGCAAGTTAACGTTGTTGTCCAGCGAACCAAAACCGGAACCAGACACATATCCATTTCAATCAAACAAACACAACTCTCATCTCGATGCCTCCACGAGGCATGTCATCATAGCACAATCGAAATGCTCTTGATGTAACACCAGTGCCGTGCCATGCCGTGCACTTGTTGACTGCATTAGACATAAGAACAATGACTACAAATTGCCAAACCGATCAATGAAGCTTTACAATTGCTGAACACCTCCAAGAGATAATCCTCTCGCCATCAGCAAATCGATACAGGGAAAAGGAAAAAGAAAGGTGTTGACCCCGAAACACTGTTTATCTCCATATTTTATAAATGAAGGCATCTCTAGTACTAAATCTATGTAGCAATCTCGTCGACTTCAGAGTTGAACACGAAACTAGGAAAAGTAGTTGTTATGTCCCTGAAGTTCAAGAGGAGAGCACGATAAATATATTGAAGATGACCACGTACGAATGGACGAGGGTATGGGAAAAGGGAATCACCGCAAATAAGGGAGGGTCATGATTTTTAACAACGATGGGTTCTTGGAAACAAAGTTCTGCCATTCGGACTTGTCGATTTTCCCATCCTCGTCCACATCAGCTTCCAAGAAAGTCTGCAAACATTAAAAGAATTAGATCTCCACAAAGACATGGATTGGGACACGTAGAGTTCCAGCAACAGGAAGGACATGCACGCCTTCCTGGAAGGATGTCCAATGCCCCGCTTAAATAGGCGACACAGTTGCCCATCACTAAGCTTCATCTTTTATTACTTCAAGACGTATAACTACTCAAATAAGATGCATCAAAGTCATAGATATAATTGGTTCTTTTCAATCCTTCCAACATAGTAAGATCTCCTCCTATCCGATGCTACTCCTATCCAAGTAAAGGCGACTTACCTTATCGAGTATTATCTCAATCGTGTCATCAGCCAATTTCATGTCTGATTCACATAGAAGAGCAATCAACATTTGCTTAACCTGCCAAATCAAGCACCGAATGAGAATCCTGTATTAAAATTGGTAATCCATATATCAATCAGCGGGACATTCTTTTCTACAAATTACCTAATGCTTGCACCTTGAGTAAAGCATTTAAATTCAAAATTGAATCACTTGGTTTACAAAACCCTATAAATTGGAGGGACAAAGTCAACTGAATAGGGTATTATGACCTTACGTATAATTGACACAGAATGTAAACACCAAGTACAGTTAATCAGGATGGTTCCCGTTGAATTGAGATGATTCAAGTGCAATTTTCATTTTTCGATTCTGCACTCTAACATAGGTATTTATTGGAGAGAAAGCAGTTGGGGTATTGCTAACATATAGCAACCGTAACTATCGTTTGATGAACTTTGCATCTCAATTACCTCTTGACGTTCGATAAATCCAGTACCATGCAAATCATATAGCTTGAAGCAGACTGCAATTGAGTAATAAACGTGTCAAAATTGAAGGATAATGTGCATAGAAAAAAAGTGAGGAACAGGTGAAGGTGGCACTTGAAACCGAATTCTATGGCAGCCAGCACAAAATCTGCACTTTGTGAACTTACAATCAATCTTATCTTCTTGAGGAGCATTAGGATGGAAGACATTAAGGGATCTAACAAAGTCACCAAAGTCAATGGATCCCTTATGCTTAACATCAAAAAGATCAAAGATCTGCACACAAGGGAACAAAAATTAGGAGTCCAAATCGCTAATTACTCAACAAAAGGTATTATGCTTAATGGGCATGGAGTAACTGAATTGGAGAATTGAGTTACTTAATGGTAAATCCAATTTAGAGGCAGATTAATATTTTCTCGTAAAGTTGAAAATTTTATAACCAGGATTTTGAAATTTATCCAAATCAACAATAATATCTGGAGGATTTTATAACAGCAAAGTGGAAACGCACGGATAACTCATGAACAGACATGGCATGTAAAGGGATGGGCATCATAAGAGTAGAAACAAGCAAAACAAGTCAATTACCCGATTGGCAAAGAGATTCTCTTTCTTCCTGTTCTTGAATAAAGCCAACTGAAACTCTTCCTGGAATACACGGTAAGCAAATTCATTTTCACAGATGAACCGGAATTTGCGAACAAGAATAAATCAAATGCACAACAGAAAAAAAGGAAAAATGAATATATTAAACATACTATCTCAAAATGGAGACTTTTCCGATCATCATCCCCCACCCCCTCCCTCACCCCCAATCAACAGTACAATATCAGTTGCTTCCAACAATGCTTTGGATCCACGTGTCATTGGATAAAAAGAACTAAGAGAAGGGGACATGCACGAGGGTAGAGGGCATTATGTCCTCCCTACCATTGTATCTCCGTTTTACTTTAACTGAAAATTTTAGCAGAACATGCAGAAAAACCAAATCTATGCTACCGAACTAATCATGAACTTACCAGTCTGCTTACAGATTACTATGAATTTCTGAGATTAACTATTCACCAGTAATGACCATGCAATTATTAACTGATATAGAAATGAGTGTCATCTAATTTTCCACAAAATTGGCCAATGGAAAGGGAAAGGGGGAAAGCGCTTTTAGCTCACAGACTTATTAGTTACAAGACCCTGAGACATGATACCAAAAGTGCATAGTTTACACATTATTGAGTCTTCTACTCAAAGAAGGGACTATAAAAGCAGGCAAAATGGCATTCCAAGAAAGGCCCACTGGGTCAACAAAGCAAGAGAAATTTGGTGGGTCTGGCTGAAGAGTGCACATTTCCTTACCCTCGGTAAAGTCTTCTTCTATATATTCTAGATTTTTTTAGGAAGAAGACATCTAAGGTGAGAAAACGAAATGAAAGCGTGCAGTGCAATGACACAAAAAGAAAATCAAGCGTTGCTTCCCAATCAGAGGTGCATCTTACCTTATTTATCAACCCATCATCAACTAGAGAGCCGCTGATGCTCTTGTATAGCTCAAATAGTGCTTCAACTTCACTGACACTGACTGAGAAACACAAATTGATAGGAGTCAGTGTGTTTAAAGGAAAAAACCAGTGAGCAGACAAGCATGAGTCTCACCCATAGCCTTCATGATCATTTAAGGATGATGAAGCACGTGTTCAGATTTCTCACCAAGAAATTTGTGAACAGATCACAGTCACAATATTCCTATTGTATCTCAAACCTAAGCAGAAAGTTACATTCTGTCCTTCAGTCGAATGCAGGCACACTAGTGAACTTCCTCAACTTAGTGCAAGAGAAAAGCTGACTGCTTTGGAATAGAGGTTGGTTCCAAGAGTTAAAATTACCCATTCAGTCTGAATTATCACTATTGTGCAACTAAAGCAGAACTAAGAAAGCACCAGAATGCGACAGAAATTGTTTGGCACTGGTGAATTCTGAGAGATACTCACAAGCTGTCTGCGAGGCAAGAGTCACGGGGTCCTCGTAACCAGGAAATTGTCTTCTTTGTGTAGAATGGAAGCAGCCCATTTACTGAAAAAGTAGCAGAGAAACAGCCGCAACTGGAGTGGGCGCCTAGGCCTCAACACAAATTATCGCCGAAACCATCGTACTTTAAACTGGAAAATCACAAATCAAATTCAAAACCGAACATGCGAATCAGTTAGAGACTAAATCGATGCCACCTGATTTGCAACCACACAAGAAAAAGAAAACGCAATGACCAAACCAAACCAAACCAAACCAGAAGATAAATTCTTGTTATGATCTAAAAACACCAAGGCATTCTCTTCTGGCCTCCCAACGCGAACGGTAAGATTAGCAGGCACACAACAAGTGGGACAAGCAAAAAACGCTGACCAAACAAAGCCAAAGCCTTGATTGTTCCACCACTCAATTAAGCTACTTGACAAATACAGCTAATCACAAAGCCAACACCATTCTATGTATCCAGTTAACTTTAACACTTTTCATCTGGAACGAGATGATAAAACCAAGAAAAGAAATCCACCAACAATCAAGAAGAGTCCAATCTCTCATCAACCAGACATACAGCTAGAACCGGCACACCAAACACTCCAAAGACATCGAGAACAACCCCACTTAAGCCATAAACTGAAGCACATGACATCAAGGGCCAAACACATTCGAGACAAGCAGATCCCGCCAATCAACCCACAAGAGTAATATCCCAAGAACAATCGATGGAAAGAGCAAGAATCAAACAAAGACAGACCCAAGATTACTTACCCTGCTCGCCAAATCAAACCCTTTGTTCGGACAGTGCCCTTTTCCTCGGAGCAAGAAAGAGAGAGTGTCTAGAGCTAGAGAGCGAGACAGAGAGAGAGAGAGATCTATCAACGATAAGCTGCTTTGTTGTGTTAATGGTGGCAAAATTTTCCTTTTTGAAGGAGCAGGGGAAAAGTGAACCAGAAGCGCGTATTCTACCGGTGAGGTGAGGGGTTGGGGGGCGGAATCGGAGGGCTGAGGATGTTTCGATCGGACGGACGGGAATCCGTACGAGGAACTTTGACCATGTGGAAATCAATTTGAATCTGTTTTTCGTGAACGGGGAAGTCGGAAGAAAATGTTGGGAGGAGGATTGACGAAGCAAACTAGAAAAGAGACGGGAGATGTCGAACAGTTTGGACTTAAGAGTCCAATGATCTCATCTATGGTTGACCCGCAATTTATCGGACGGCAAAATTGAATTTTGCTTTTGTGCCTATTTAGAATATCACGAAATATCTACACTAAAGTCACAAGTTTTAGGATTTGATTTGGTCAATTTAACAAGTTCTAGAACTTGATTGCACTTTTCGAAAGTTTCAGAACTTGACTGTACCTTTCGAAAGTTTTCGGACTCAATTACACTTTCATGATAAGTTTTATGACTTAATTGCACCTTTCGAAAGTTTTAGGACTCGATTGCACTTTCATGACAAATTTTAGCATTTTTAATGCATTTATTCCGAAAAATGACATTAGACCTTAATTAGGTAAGTATCGCCCGTTATTTCTATTGTATGAGAATGAAATGACATAGTTAAGATAACGGTTCGTTTTTCTTTTTCTAGAAGAATGGTAGTTTACTGACAGTTTCGAATTTGTTTTGGTAAGAACACTTCTCATACTTTTATAAAGGATAATTCTTTGAGTTCAGCTAGTCTAGTTTGCTCCCTAAAATGCCCCCAAATTGTCCATTAGTTGCTTCAAATCTCAGAAAAAAAAAAAACAAGAAATCCTCCATATCATATCAAAGGTTCAGAATCAGATATAAATATATATATTTGATTAATAAAAGGGGGCAAAAATCCGAGTATCAAACCATTACTTTTTTAAATGACCATGTATTTAATCTAGTCTAAAATCATAAATCTCACATGCAAAACGATTAGCTGTTAAGCCAGTAGCCATAAGCCCATGCAATGCAAATGCATCGGACACTTTCGTTGAAAACGCACGAGCAAATGACAACGACGATACGCAATCGTGCGAATTTCACCGACCGACCCGTTTTGTCTCTAGTTTGCCAAAAGTACACGCATGAATTCCAAGTTGATTCAAAATTAGGAGGATATTAATATATATATATTTAATTTTTTTTCTTAACCTTAGTCGCGTCGGGTTTAAGAAAATTATGACGGATTGAATCACCTTTTTTTCAATGGGGACGTTTGCTTTGGCCCTTTCTCATTCGCCGCTTAGCGCCATCCTACGTTCTTTCGGTGGTGGATTTATCTAAAACGACCATCTTACGTGGCGGGCGACGAACGATTGCCACGTCGGAGCTTTAGACTCGAGACCAGATTGGGCGGCGTCGCTAATTGCTGAGTCAATCGGGTCCCTCGAAATCACGCACACGTACTTAATCCGTTTTCAGCTCCCCAGAAGGATCGGCGGGGCCCACTCCGATTTTTCGTTCTTAAGAGAAATAATTGCGGGAAGAGCCAGATGGTGGGCACAGGTGGGTCCATCAAATGGATGGATCAGATCGTATTCAGGGAGGGTTGAACATAGTCCGTCCAAATGAATTCATTTTCATGCAATACAAATTTAACGACATGTGCTCGACCTGATCAATATTGCTAAAACATTTTTATAATTAATTGGATCTATAAAAACTCATACCCAAATTGAGGTGGTATGGAGCGAGTGAGGGCGAGAGAGAATAAAGAGATAATCATAAAGATATGGTAGGTCTAAGTAAGTTGTAAACTCATTTATGATCCATTTATAATCCATTTAATACCCATATTATATTTAAACTCATTTACTGTATAAAATTAACCCGTATAATAACTCAACCTATCATGTATGGGCTAAGAAATTGATTTATAACCCGTTTTGACAAATTAAGGCACACGATAGAATTTTGACTTAGGAGGACCTGAATTCATCAACTACGGCATTGAAAAGTAGGGTATATTGTGCTACCAACCAATAATATCATAGTGGACCATACATATGGATACTTTAGAATATCCTTCGCCGTCTATATACATATCTATATTTGATAAGTACCAACCGTGCGTGCCTTCTCTCGAGGAAAAATTGGAGCTACCTTGTTCGAGATCCATCGCTCGACGGTATCGGGCCTAAACGGTGTGCCTAACTCATTTTATCGCTGTTTGCAGTATCCATCTTTCAAGTGGCGCCGGGTATTTTTAGCCATTGTCATATGCTTAAAGAACTCAGTCAGACACTCATTTCTCCGATTCCAAAGCGACAGAATGCTTATAAAGCCGAGGATTGGCGGGCCTATTAGGTCGTGTAACGTCGCTTCTAAATGGATCTCGAAACTTTTGGCTAACCGTCTCAAACCCCTCTTACTCGAGTTAGTGTCCGAGAATCAAGTTGCTTTTGTTCTTGGCCGCCGGATAACAATGAACGTTGCCATCGCTTTGGAGTTATTCCGTAGAGGGAACCACCGTCGTGGTAAGGGCGGTTGGGTTAGAGTCGAATCGGGAATGCACAAAGCTTATGAATGAGCAAAATGGGAGAAAATTGTCCAAAAAGTCTTAAACTTAGTCAATTCAATTCCAAACTTTTCGATTTTGCCAATCGAGTCCTAAATCTTTTTATGTGATGCTAATTGAATCCATTCGGTCAATTTTAACAAAAAATCACTGACGTGGACACCCGCCGGCGCTACTATGGACAATTTTTAATAAAATTTTCGAATTTTTTAATTATTTTTTGTTCTTTTTTCTTTTCTTTTTCTTTCTCTTCTTCCAAGCCCGGCGAGGGCCGCTTGCCAGCCCTTGCCCAGTGAACGGCGAGGGTCGCCGGGCGGCCCTCGTCAGACTTGATAGAAATAAAGAAAAAAATTAAAAAAATTAAAAAATCCATTTTTTTAGAAAAATTATCATCATCAGCGCCGACCATCCTACGTGGCACTAACGGTGTGCACATCAACGATTTCCGGTTAAAATTGGCCGGATGGACTCAATTGGTAAAATGTGAAAATGTTTAGGATTCAATTGGCAAAATCGAAAGATTTTGGAATTGAATCGACAAAAATGCGATAAATTTAGGACTTTTTGGATAATTTTCCCACGGAACGGAGGCTCCTATCCCCGCTGAACGCCCAGCTTGCACTTGGCTTTGATCGGAGAACCCGGCGGATCCCGTCTGAAAATTTCGCGTACGGTGCCGATTCAACGGATTCTTCTGGTCATCTTCTTATCTAACAGTCGCGCGTTAGCCTCTGACCTGCGGACTGTGCCAGATCCGATCGACGAGCTGGGAAGTTAGGGAAGCAAGTTGTCCCGCAGCTGCTACGTAAACAATGGTTCTTATCCTGCAGTATATTCCCTTGGTGGGCCGCTGTTCATTCTGCGTTTTTTTGAAGAAGAAAAAGAAGGGAAGCAGCGTGGAGTTTCTTGCTCGAATTCTTTGTGGTCCACTTGCTTTTCTATAGTCGGCGACGCGATCATGATTGTCGGATTCTAACAACAAAACATTGTGCATGTCACGAGGTTCCGACAGAAGAGAGAGAAGACTTGACAGGCTATGATGATCCTAAGTTGGTTTGGGAGGATTTTATTTTCCCCGACACGAGAGGATGAGCCTTGCTTATCTTGTACGAGCATGCTCAATATGAGTGGTTAGATGGTATCTTGTAAGTGTCTCGTTGGATCTAGATGATGTGGTATCTCCAAACATTTTGCTAAACTAGGTCGAGGATACTGAAATTTAACAGTTTGAAAATTGGGTGGTTAACAATAGACGCGCAAGAAGAATTGAGATGGATCCGATTTGACGATGAAACATCAACCGGACACAAAGCAATCGGTTTCATCTATGATGAGATACTTTTCTTCTGTCGTTTAATGCATGAGATACATTCATTATGTTTATTCGTGGAATGGTTGGTTCACGATTCTTTTACCTTCTTCGCTTTTCTAACAAATAAGCAAGGAATCATCTCAACATATATATATATATATATATATATATATATATATATATATATATATATTATATACATTCAATGTACCAATTATCGGGATACACAGCATTGCTAGGGAGAACATAACAACTGTATGATTTACTTTGCACCTTAAAAGAACAGCACCGCATCATTTCTCTTGGACAGGTTGGGATGGGCAGCAATGCACCAGCAGCAAAGTAGAGGAACATGGCCATTTGGGCTTCAATTTTGTACTAGCGATTTGGACTTTATTATACACGTTTCCCACTATTCCTCCTAATGTACCCAACAACGCTAGTGTTTCTTGCAATGGTCATAAAAATGCGGAGAGGACAATGACACTTCATCTCTCGAAGCTCGGGGAATCCATGCTCTTACGGTAGAATAACGACTTTCCGGAGATCTCATACGATGAGTTGGTCGAAGAACTCAATGCTCCGGGGGGATGACTTTCTAAAGAAGGAGAAGCGAAGCTTGCCAGGAGCATTGCGGCGAAAGCATGCTTACAACTTTCAAATCTTTAAGGTCTTCTTTGCATATTTCATGTCCATACGACACGTTGTGCTTCTTAAGGTAAAATGACATATTTTATTTATATTCATATTTAGAGACACATATGTGTAAAAGAGGCAACGAATTTGTTTGAAACAAATACGTGAGTGCCGGGGAAATTTTTTTTTAAAATTATCGAATCGATTTAGAGAAAATCTGCAACAGTTTGGTGGAGAAATTTGCTAACGAAAGCCAGTTTGAATATAATTTCTTTTTAACTAATAGGAAGATTGCGTACAAAAGTAAAGTTTTAAACATTTTTCATGGCGATGAGTGTTTCGATAGGAGTGTAATCGAGCCGAGTCGAGTCGATCCACTGCCAAATTCGAGCTCGACTGGCATTCCCAGTGCTTGAGCTCTTCCAAGTATTAATTTTCCCGCTCGAATTTTTTACTCGGTTAGGGTATCAAAATACTCGAGCG